TAGATAACTTAATTTATTTCAACGCATGTTCATATTGTTTTTAAACAGAAATTCACAAAAAATATGTTTTTGAAACAAAACAAAAATATGAGAACCTTGCAAATGTTATTTCACTGAACAATTTGTAAGGTTTTTGAATTTGAACTTTTTAAAACCGTTAATTTTATATCGATTTTTTAAATTTTTACTTTAATTTTGTAACTTAAGAATTGATTTTTCTATCAATATGATAAGTTCACGCTTATTGCAGTAAAATTAATGTTTTAAAAATATTTTCTGAAATGTTTTAATCAAAAATATTTGTTTTGTAAACAATTCAAATCGAAGAAAACAGGAAGGAATCTACTCAAATCGAATATTTTGGTGGGTAAAAATTTTTCTGTTCAAATCGAATCTACTCAAACAGAATCTACTCAAATCGAGGACCCCCAGTATAAACAACTTACGTGCTAGATCTTCCTCTTACTGATGCAGTTTTGTATAAAATAACTCAAACCTTTTATGATTTGATAGAATTATCAACTGTTGACCTCAGAAGTCAACAAATTAGCGAACAAACGACATGACTCACTTAAACTATAATTCACACACCTATAACTGCTTATAGTTAAGTCTATCCCTTCAAAATTTAACCTCCTAACCACAAATCTAGTCATCAATAAGATAAAAACTCGCTTCTCGTCTACTGCATGATAAAACTGCACTTGTATGTATAAAGGTTAGACTGCCCGAAGCCAACAATAATAGTCTGTCGTATCCTCGAATCTAAACATATTTGTTTTCTATGTTATACCTTTACTCAAGTACTAAGCAATAGTTTAGACAGCTCAAGCTAAATATTTGCTGATTCCTGTGACTTTTGCACATAAGTAATAGTTTTGACTTCATACCTTGAAGGCAATATTCTTTCCATTAGACTAAACCCATTGAAAAGTACACATCCATCTACATCTTAGACTCGACATAGAAAAACAATTTTCATCTCTTTCTTGATACCACATGAGGCAAATAAATATTTGTCTATAAAAATAATTTTATTGAGAAGAGTTGAGTGAAGAAAAGCATCATATATAGACGTACATAACATTAGTATTATGACATTTTACATAATAAAACAAGTCTTTTCTTTTTGCACGATGCCTTTTTCTTCTGAAAGCAGTAAAGATTTTTCTTTCGACACATTTATATTACGAATGAATGACGGAGTTACTAAAAAGAGACACAACGTCTCAATCAAATATTTTTATTACATTAAGAGTGACGATGATCATAGTCTTTTGAGGATTGCACTTTTCATATTAAGTCTTCGAGAAATGAGGTCTGTAATGCGATTGTCTTCTTTTTTCTAAACTTATTCTTTACTAGGGTCTATTAGATGACCAGATACTAGTCTAGGTATGCAAGATGCTCCTTAGCCCATCCCATCATCAAATCAAAGACATCATTAGGAAGCTACACGTCAAGAAACGCTGAAAAAATCTTTATTTTGATTTAACTCAACAGAAATGCGATGTGAATAACATGTTAAGTCATTTCATTACACCGACTATAAAGTATCGGAGAGAAAGTAATTTTTATAGCACAAAATTATCTAATTTTACATCAAAAAAATTAAAGAAAAGCATTTTTCATGATCATAAAGAAATGCTTTCTTATTACAACACACAGTCTGTGCATAATACGATCAAGTCTGACCAATATTGGGTTTCGAAAAACAACATCGGAACTATAACACTCGAGTTGTAATTTATTTTCAATTTTTCTTTTATTATGCAATGGGAAATTATTACTATCGATAGTGTGTACGGCAATGAACACGCCTCCAGTGCTCGAAATAATTCCATTGTCTTGTAACTTAAAAGTTGTGTAGACAGTAATTTAACATTTAGAAAAAATAATAATTCCGGAACGATTCACATCTAAAATTATTGTGCTTCAATTTCAATTCCATGGTCAAGTTTACGTGATGTTTTTTCTTCACTTTCTTTTCAATTCACAATTTTTCCCATCACCATTGTGAGTGATGAAATTGAAATTATTTCATAATCTTTTCGCATCAATGCATGGATGACGACACTCCAGTGCCTACATGTAATGAACTTTAATAAAGAAATTGATACTGCAATCTTGCTGGATGTAATTTTTTTCACATTTTTCAATTGTTTCTGTTGTTGCCATTGTTGACATCTTGAATTTTTATTTTTTATAGCTTTTATGAAAGCTTTATGATTTGATGCAATGGCTTGAATAAGAAGAAGAAAGAGTTTATGATTCAAAAATGAACAAAATAAAAACAATGAGCCAATAAAAGTAAAACAAAGTTAAAGAAACAGCAAAGTTGAATATGCGAGGGGTTATTTATAAATGACGTCTATCTTGGAGGTTCATGGTCTGGTATAGATTCAACACAAAACAATTGCAATATAAGGTAATGAAAATGGGTCCGAAAATTTAAATTTTGATGAAAACATCACTGATGAACACCCCCAAAGTTGAACAGTTAAACTCTATTAAGCAATTGCATCTTATAGTGCCGAAAACGAGACACAAAACAAATTTTCAAAATCTTTTCTGTGCTGATTTGCAAATCGAAATGGATAAAATATTTGGAATGCCTTTCGCATGGTCATTTCAGCATGCTTTTTTGAGGTTAAGTAAATGGAAATTATTTAGATCAAATTAGTTGTAAATTAAGCTAATTAATTGGACATACGCAAAAAGTGTCTTGCATTAAAAAAGTCCCAATTCTTTCGCTTCGTTTCACATACATTGTCTTTGTTGATTTATCATGCACAGTGTAGAATGCCATTGATTTATTTAAAGTTCAACAAGTTTTTTTACGTATGCATGTTGCGTGTCGAATAATAGCTTAACGCTGCATTAATTTTATATGTCTCATTCATTAATCACGATCATAACATTACTTAAGGATTGTAAGCGACTCTCACGCAGGAGTTTAAGTTCTTATCATAATCACACATTTTTCACTTCTCATATATTATTAATCTATGAAATGTAATCGATTTTGTTATATAAAACTTGTAGCACATATTGCAATCATAACTACGAGAATGAGTCATAATTTATAGTTTCAGTCTTTTGCAATTTGCGGCGACAATTTGAAATCATTTATTCATAATGGAGAGGTATAAAAATGCACTTAAAGGTATGTGCGTAGGTATAATAGGAATTGAACTAATAATAAATTCAGAAAATGATTGAAGTCATAAAGTTTTTGCTCTTTTGGAATTGAGTTGGATTGATTGGAGTGAATGGATTGATTAATATTTTAAAATTGATCTAGATCGTGGTTCTTTTTTGTTCTTGGAAATGCATTGAGTGACCTTCTGATTGAATTGCAATTGACTTTATTGATTGGTTTCTTGAAGGTATATCCTCGCTTGTGCCTTAAAACTTTGAATTTATCTCAATTGTGAGAATTTGTTCTAGAATATCAATAATTTAATGATTTAAAAGTGCTTTGGTCACTATTAACTGACTAAGTTCGAGTATTCTTGAATTAACTAGCAGGAATGAAAGTAAATCAAGATTTTGACAGAAGTTTCCTCAACTAAATGACCAATTATCTAAGAAAAGCTGATCCCCTAGTAACCAAAAGGTAGATCAATGTATTCCATGAGAATCTTCCATGGATGATACATATGTATTATCCATGTATTATCCATGGGAAGATGATGTCCTATGAAATTGGAAGATAAATGGACAATGCAATAAGACATCAATGTAATACATCAAAGGAATACAAATGGAAAACAAATGGAATACTTTTTTTTGGATATAACACGTGCTAAATTCCACGTGTTCTTTTGTAATTTTCATTTATTTGTGTAAATTTTTGTAAAAGTATTAGTGTGTACTTAATTAAAGTACACTAACACTACGAAAAAGAACAAAAAGACTTAATTTAATTAAGTCGCATACTGATGAACGCCCAAGACTCGCACACAAACCTGAGGAAGATAAATAATTAATTGAAAGCCCCATCGAAATTTAGAGAGAACTTATAATAGTGATTTCTGCGAGCACTTGTGAAGTATATGGCAAATGCCAAATTTAGAACAAATATTATTTTCCTGCAAAATAATATTTTTTTGATGATTTTTCATAGGATTTGAACATATGCGGGCTCGGGTAATACTTCGATGGAACACTTTTGTAACATGTTTGTAAAACAAATATTTTACATATAATAAATAATGATACATTTGATCTTCCATCGACGTCAAAGGAAGATTATATGGAACATTTTGGTTACTTGGGTCTTAAAAATTCAACTCAAAAAACCCTCATAAGCTGTAAAAATCATATTCTTAACAAAATAAGTACACTCCTTCTACAAAACTCAATCAATACCCATCGCAACAAAGTAATCGATTCCAAAGAAACATCCAGACTGTCTCACGCTCACCTAGACTACAAGCTATTGCTAAATTTCAGCAAATAATCATTCATTTCACTCCCAAAAAAGTCTATAGCCTTCAAAGTAGAAATTACTTAATTCTGCAAAATGCACCACGACATCAAAAAGTGCTTGTTAAGTAACGACGAAGAAATGTCCAATTTGGGAGGGTTTTTTTTACTGCTACATCAATTATAGAATTGAAGTTATTTCTCATTCATCAAACATTTCAAAACGAAATTATGAAATTAATCAGAGGAGCATTAAACTTACTCACGACAATGTCCGTGGTATGTAAAGTATGTGTGTATAGAGGGCATGGTGGGTTGCTACTTGAATTGAAAAATATCCGGGAAAATCCAAATATTGTGCAAAAAAAAATATTTTATGCGTGCAATTTCATTCATGGATTGTAAATGTATCGGAAAATCTTATCACGTATTGCATATTATGAAGACATTACAATTGCATAACTTCAAATACCTTAAAAATGAGTCAAATCACGTTAGTTCACCTGCTCATATTGAAATCAATCAAAAGTCAAACATAAATAGCAGTGCAGTGAGTTAAAAATTAAGTCATGTGTCGCTATAAATCTGTAAGTGACATAAAACTATTAATTTTCTTTACATAATCGTACATATTACAAACATTAACCTATTTAATATAGCGGAACCAAAAGTTGAGCAAAAAAATGTTTGTCTTCACCTTTGTCATTGCTTTGTTGCAGACACAACAGCTCCAATTTTAATAATTCTTTCCTTTTGAACTTCTGTGCATGAATACCCGAAAGGTGATTTCAATAAAATTTCTTATAAACGGTATTGTAACAGAGTTGGGTGGGACTTAGTTGGCTGAGACTATAATGGCAATCTCTAGGGTTGAGCTTATATCTAAGCAGGTCTTAATTATTATCCTCAGGGCAACTTTAAGATCAAATAAACTTAAGCAAAAGGTAATTTTGTTCAATTTACCACAAGCATCTAGTCTTAAAAGCCCAAGTAAGTCATGTTGCGGCAGTTGAAAGCTATTAGATCATCAGGAATATTCGAGAACAAACAAGTTCCAATCTAATTCTAATAAACACTCTAGAAATCAACTCTGAGAGTTCAATGTATACGGAATATGATTATTTACGTAATAATAATAGTAAAAAGTGCATTGTGCATGACATACATTGAATATATATATTTTTCTGTGTGACTTTCAATGAAGCAAACTTTCATTTTCATTTGGATTTTCTTCTCTTCGTCTAGCATGTTTAAATGAAGCTTTAATAGCAACAACAATGTGTTAACGTTTGCGTGAATGTGCTCTGCTAATAATAGCCGTATTAGCGAAAAACATAAAAAACTTTGAAACAATTTGTGTAATATCACATTGTGAGCATATTAAAAAGCTATATGAATGAATACATCAAATTGTTGAGATTTTTTTCTGTCTGAACGCATCGATGATGTTAATATGACATTGTTTGCATTTATTGTGAGAATTTAATGATAATTTTCAACTCTACATTTTACAGCTCGTTGGAATAAAGTAGCTATTGTCCATACGTTTCTGCTGAATTTTATATTTCCATGAACAAGCTTTTCATAATAAGAGCATCAGCAAAAAAATAGTCATTTTGTTGTGATTCTGTGCTGTATGATGAGATGCAAATATTTTTGAGGGAAAATGATGATGTTGGAACTGGATTTGAAATTTATTTTGGGAATGCTTTAGCAACATATTTAAAAATGTTTTCTATTGTCTGAAATGGAATTGATGCACAAGTTACAAAGAAATTTATTTTTAATGGATGAGATTTCTGAAAAATTCTGTTGTCTATGCCATTAAAAGCTTTTTCTCATGCAAATTAAAAATATTGCAAATGAATTAATTTGTATAAAATATTGAGACACTTGATGCCTCTCTGAGACAATTTCTGCACAAGGAGCTTAAACTACTCTGCTACCCCAATTCAAAATAATTTCATCATCATATGACTCAATAATCACATTTAAATCTCATTCAATCCTCATAAAAAAATCAATGACTAGCTTTTAATTACGACTACAATAAAATTCGATATCATATCCTGTACACAACAGCTGTAAAATTTTCATAATTTGTAATAAATAATTCTCGCTCTAATTTAAAACTTTATTGACTTCGATACATAATAGAATGATGCATGGCGACTTGTTGTTTACAATATCATTTTAAATTCCATTCTAAACGCTCTAAAATGTTGCATAAAGCTTCCTATTTCGGTTTGCTAGAACAATTATGGATTTTTTTCTGAATATCCAATTTATAATTGGTGTACTCAATTACTTTTGATATTCATAAACCTGTCGGAGCTAATGATTTGAAGTTCAATATAATTTAGGAAGAAACAATTTAGAAACAGTAATTTCATGGGATTCTCAAGAGTTTTAAGACACACAAGTTTCAAGCAATGGGGGTCCTAGATACTAATAACTCGATTATTAACAGTCAACATATCAACAAATCAATTATTCTAACCAAGGACCCCCTAGTCTGAAAAAGACAAAAGCAATAAAATGAAGGATATAAGAAGTACACGAAACTTGCATATTCTACCTTTTAATTCCACATAAAACATCTCGATTGTACCATCAATATTTCCTACTAAATCATGTTTTATTGGAAGCCTTATTGAAGATTTGATGTAAATTATGAGTGGTAAATAACATTAAGAGTTGAAAAAGTGAAGGTCATGCATCAACATACTGAATATAACTTCACCTTATTGTTACAATGTGTATCGTCGTCTCATGATCTAGCAAAGAGAAATAATTTTTTTTTTCATTTTTGCATTCACAAGATGAATGGCATGCATATGAGCTTATTTAAAAGGGCAATTTTCACAATGTTTCTACAAATCCTTTACAAGTCGAGTAGTAAAGATCATTAAATGTATAGATACACACCCAAGGTGTATGTCTGTGGTGTCCATTGCGTTTAAAATGTAATCAAAACGCACAATTTATGAGGTTCAGTTAGTAACATTGCCCATTCATGCTGATGCTGTATAGATCTATTGGTAATAAATACCAAATGCTGTGTGTGACTCATAAGATGAATCAGCTAGGCCAAGTACGACCTCGAAATTATTTCTCATTTCTAAATACCGTCCAGATGTTGGCTAGATCTCTTTGCCGGATTTGAATTTCTCATGTCTGAGAGACTCAATTTGCGCAATCAACTGGATTTACATTCAACGAATAAAAGTTAAACCCAATTTTATCGCGTGGTAGAATTAAACAATGTGATTTACACAGAATTCAGCATCAGCAACATGAAGCTAATAAAGTTAAATTGAATTACTTTTAAGTATCACGTTGATCACTTCCACCAATAATGACTTTGGTGTTTGGGAACCTTTTTGTGTATTTGGAGTGGGCTGTTGAACAAATGAATGGGATTTAAAGTGCACAGCTCCAATTAAAATCAGTGTTTATTTCCTTAAACCACAGAACTGTAATGCTTTATACCATAATTAACGTAAACATGTCAGTATAATAGAACATACAACTTAATTGATTGCTGATTCAGAAGAAAGCTATGTCTGTGTTGTAGAAACTATTGCGTGGCATGAGTTGCTGTTATTATGATTATTTGTGTAATTTGTCAAACACCTTAAAGCTGCTAATAAGCTTAATAATTATTAGAAGTTGTAAAGTCGAGTAATTCCAATTTTAATCTCGATTTGTAGACTTTTGGGATTAACTTGTTAGAAACGCAAGGTTGGCTTGTGAAAATTGGATCCAATTAAGTAATGTACTTGAATTGTAATTTGATGACAGATTGGAATTTCAGCAATTTTAAATTGTAGGTTAAATTTTAAGGACTTGAATGTTGAAATTTAATGAAATTCGATAATCACTAGCCTGATTTCTAAAAGCTAGGCCCACCCTTAAAGAAATCAAAAAGACCTCTTATTATAAAATTAATATTTAACCTTATCGAAATCCAAGCTAATCAATCAAAAGAGCAAACCAATTTGCTAGCTACCTAAACAATAGGAATTCATAAACCATTTGCTGGTATGTCTAAAATATGCGTCAAAAATTGAGAAATATTCCTGAGCTTACGTGCTTGGCAGCAGTTATTAATCGAAATGGAATTTTTTCATGAAATTTTTTTGTATCGCACTCAATTTTGAATTCTTCAAGACACGCTTTAAATCTTTTCAACTTGACATTTGCATGAGTTTCAAAACATGTTATTTAAAATTAATAAATTAAACTTAATAATTTCTATTATTCACAGATTCCTCTAGCACTTCTACTTCTCTTCGTACTTTCGAGTGATGCACAAACGAGAAAAGTCAGACTGCGTCAACGTCCAGTCCAAATTGAAAGTGTTGAAGAAGAAACTAGTGAAGAACTTGGAAGTCCAGCCATTCAATATTATCGTCCACAAGCCAAACAAGATAATGCACAAGAATTAGTCTACGTGAGCGAAGATGAATACCAAAATATTTATGCACAGCACCAACAACAGCAACAGCAGTCTAAACCACGTGACTATAGACCAGCTCTTACAACAGTTCGTCCATTGCCAAGAGCTAATCATTCACCAACAACTTTAGCGCCAAGAACGAAGATTAATGAGGAAAAGGCAGCTCCCGTACAGACAATCAGAAACTACAATAAAGTTAATGATGATGGTTCATTCACATTTGGTAAATAAGATTTTTTTCGTCGTGCTGTATAAACAATAATTTTTATAAATTAATTTTAAATACAGGCTATGAAGCAGCTGATGGAAGTTTCAAGGAAGAAACACGTGGTACCGACTGTGTTGTACGCGGAAAATATGGATATGTCGATCCTGATGTAAGTTTAACTTAATTAAGTTTTGATGACTTGAAATAACGATTGTTTAATTTACAAAACAGGGCAACAAACGTGAATTCACTTACGTCAGTGGAAATCCATGTGATCCAAATAATCCAGATGGTGAGGAAGAAGATGATCAAAGCAATCGCTCAGAAGAACAAGATGAAAATGTTCCACAAAATTATCCAAAGAGACCAGCAGTAGCAATTCAACGTCCACGTCCCACACAATCACCAACAACACGTGCCCCAACAACAGTCTTCCAAAATCGTTATAATGCACAAGAAGAGGAAGAAGAACAAATTCAATATGCTCCAATTCCAAAAACATCACCACGACCAGCCTATGCTCAACCAACTCAAAGACCACGTGTTCAGGTAATTCATACTACACCGGTTCCACAACCACAGCAACAACAACAATCATTCAATTATGCCTCACCCACACCATCAGTAAATATAACACCAAAACCAGCTTATAAGATTCACAACAATGTATTGTCCCTTCACCAGACTCAAGAACCAGCAACAACTTATCGTCCACACACTGTCTCAATTGTCACTCCAAAGCCAGCTATTCAAACAACAGCTTCCGCATATAATCCATCCAAGAGTGTCACATTCGGTCATCAAGCAGCCAATTCTAATCGTCAACAACTCGACTTTGATGCTGAATTCCAGAAGTTCACACAAGAAACTGGCTTCAAACCAATTACATCACCACCAGTGACGCAATCAACAAAGACTGTAAAGATTCAACCATCAGGTCAAGCAGGAACAACATCAAATCCAATTTATCAAACACAATTGGTATATAATCCATCAAATGGTCAATATGATTCAGCATTATATCAAACAATTCCACAAACTGATGGAGATTTCTCATTAAATCAAAGAATTCAACCTTATGTCCAACAATATCAAATTCCACAAAATGCCCCAGTTCCACAAGCTGTCTATCGTCCACAACAAGTCCAGCAGCACCAACAAGCCGCACAACAGCATCATCAACAATCCGCACCACAGCATCATCAGCAACATCAACAACCTCAAATTCCACAACAAGTCTATCAGAAGCAACAAAATGAATTGCAATTTGTCAATTCACAGCAGCTTTTCGCACAACAATTGCAAATGCAACAGACACAATTACAACGTGACCGTGTTGAAGCAGCAAAGAAGCAACAATCACATAGATTCCAATTACAAAATGCTGAGCCATCACCAATCTTACGTGGACAGGGTGGACAACAATATTATTACCTTCAACCATCAGAACAAGGCAGTGGACAAATTGATCAATTCTTACGAGGACATAATTTAGAATATTAAGTTCATTGACAGCATGAATTGCCATTTTACTTAATTTATAGTCAATGACGAAAAAAAAAATGTTTTTTATTGCATAATTTTAAAAATTTCACATTTCAATTTGTTGAGACTTGAATCATGATTTATAGAAATGGAAGGATGATAAGAATACTGCATGATATTTTTTTTATAAACTGCATTTTTTTGGAGAAGTCTGTCATTTCATAACGAAAAACCTTATTCTGGGTGTTTACAATAATTAATGGATAGTCATTTTATGGCTAGCTTGGTCCGAGTTACAATTCCAATTCAATGCTGTAGTTATTGGCTTTCGTATGAACTTTATATGTCCTGCTCGGGTTGACATGACTCACTCTGGTCACGCCTTACTTAAAATTGATTATCCTTTAGTTTTTGTCTCGACATCTCGACAAAGCGAGATTCTCTGATTAACCATCGACCTTAAAATAACTCACCTTATTCCTTAATATTTTTTTTATGTCTTCATTTGTCTGTTTTTTATTACCAAAATAATTGTACATAAAAAATACCAATCCTTATGTTATAATGAATATACTATTTAATTTCAATTCTACTATATATTAATAATAATAATAATAAAGTAATGAGAAGTTACCGAACGATGATGATTATTTTATTTTTTTATACACAAATTTATGATGTTCACTTTTATTGGATAGACAATGAGCTTTTTTTTTTCTTTCAAAAATTATGAAAACGGAAATAAAAATATAAAAATTCAATTGCTCTTTTTGTTTGACTCTTAATCGATGCTGATTGCTGAATTGAATGAATCGAATTTTTTTTGCAGCTTGATATTCATCTTGGTGATTTTTCTTCCTGATTTAAATTGTTACATGCTGAATTGACTGCAAAGCAATTAAAACGGATGTAAGACTTAACAGCATGTATCCAATTAATCATGAGTTGAGACATTTTTTGTTGTGATTAAAATATTGGATAAGAGCTGAGACTACATGTCTAATTATGTTTCTCTCATGACAAATTTTCAAATGTGAGAAGTTCCTGTTGTAGCTTATAAGAATCCAGTTCTGAATTTTTAAATCTACTTTCAAAAAATTTCTTTTTAATTTAAGCAATTAAAACAAATAAATAAAATTTTAATTAAACTAGTTTAGAAATTTTAAAATGACAGCTATTGAACCTACTAAGTAAGAAATTAGAAAATTTTAAAACGGAATTAAAAGACATTTTAATCTTGTCATACGGTTTTTAAAAGTTAAGCAACTCAAGTCAGAATTAATATTCATTTCCATTGATTTATATTTACAATGTTGCATATCAAGAAACCTTTGGCTTTAGCTAAAATCTGTAGCATTTATGAAACAACTATTGTGAAACCTTAACATAGAACTAAGTGCAGTAATTGATAAATCATTTGAAAATCTTATAATAAAGGTATTTCTAGAATTCTCATAATTTCAACTCAAAAGCCGATGGAATGTTTAAATAAAATGTTTAATTTTCTAGAAATATCCGAAAAAGTATATATTTTCATAAAGGTATCTCGACTACAACAATAATATAACTTTTGATTTAATTCCAACATTGTTTTTGGTTTTCAAGCCTTGAATATAATCCGACGTCAATCATATGAGGTTTCTAATATTTGTGAAAAAATGAAATAACAGAGTTAAATGGCAATTCTTTAGATCAAATATTTTAGAATCTTAATAATCGTATAAAGTTAAATGTTTTGAATTTTAAAGTGTGTTGAATGAAGTAATAACATAAGAAATGTAGATTTAAGTGTTTTAAATAAGTTTGTGTATTTACTGGAAAGTTTTTATTGCTCAATTGTAAAAAAGTTGATTTTCGAACGAACATTTTGAAACTTTAATTCTGTGGAATCTCCCAAATGTAAATTTAATTAACTTTATTAAAAGTGACAATTGATATCAAGTGTAGGATTTACGAATTTGTTGATTAATAACAATTTCCAGTCATTAAATTCATTGATAATCCATCCATAGAATCCGCCAAACCTTATCAACATAAAAATAAGTTTGTAAAAATAGAATCAATTAATAATTTTGTTAATATTCAATTGATTCGAGTGAATAGTGATAAGGCATAGCTCAACAGTGTTGATATCGGATATTTTAAAAGTATTATAATTTAATTGGTAAGAAATAGTGCCGGAAAGAATCAGTTTTTAAAAGATATTTTATGACTATAGATAATTGTATGATTTTTCAAATTCTTATGAAGCTCTAATCTGAGAATGACGTCATTTGCCATAAAAGTGAATGTTCATATCTAGTATTAATGACATTTGACTTTTAATTGTTTAAGTGATAAAGCGAATTTATCAATCGGCTTTTTATCTACGAAAGAAGTAAAATTACTCGAAATTTCCTAAGGTTTAATCATTAATTTTGGAATAATTTCTGATCTTCAGCATGACAAACATTTTTCAAGGATAAAATACGTATATAAAGTAATAAGTAGATTATTTTTGTTTAGTTCTCATTAAACAGCTACTTGGAAAAGTTGATAAAAATTACGCAAAGGTATAAAATACATTCCAGTGCTTTGCTCTAGATTTATTTGTGTGACATAGAAAGCATAAATGTCGACATACAATCTTATTGTTCTGGACTAATTTTTGAATTGTTTAGTGATCGAATATGGGACTTTTAACTGAAGGTAGTCCACTGTCATGGGAAGAGACAAAGAAGTTGGCTAAACATGTGAGGGAACATGGAATCAAGCAATTTATTAATTTGTATGCACGCCTCAAAGATCGTCAAGGAGATGGTAATTTTAATTATGGGCTTGCTTTAAAAATAAATTTACTTACGATGCTGTTTATTTAATAAAGTTCTGAAGTGGGGCGATGAAGTTGAATATATGATTATTAAGTTTGATGACGAAAAGCAAACAGCGCAAGTATCTTTAAGAGCTCTTGAAATTCTGGATCAATTGCAAGAAAAAGAACTTAAAGATCCTGATTCCGTCAAATCATTATGGAGACCAGAATATGCTGCATATATGGTGGAAGGAACACCCGGAAAACGTATGAAAAATTAAAAAAGCTTCGAGTTAACTTTTTTGCAATTGACAATTGACTTTTTCCATATTAAACAGCTTATGGAGGATTACTAGCTCACTTCAATGTCGTTGAATCGTCAATGAAATATAGACGCGAGGAAGTCGCTCAGCTTTTGAATCAAGGGGAGTCAGTAATGTCAATTACAAGCTTTCCAATGCTAGGATGTCCTAAATTTTCTTATCCATCTTTCGATGTTCAACCAAACAATCCCGAGTCAGCAGCGCAATCTCTATTTTTCCCAGACGAAGCGATATTTACAGGCCATCCACGATTCAAAAATCTCACAAGAAATATAAGATTGCGACGAGGTGAAAAGGTGTGCATCAATGTTCCCGTCTTCAAAGATGAAAAGACAAAATATCCGGTTTTTGAAGCACTGCCCGAAACACCTGATCATGTTTATATGGATGCAATGGGATTCGGAATGGGAAATTGTTGTCTACAACTCACCTTTCAAGCTTGTAACATTAATGAAGCTCGATATTTGTATGATCAACTGACTCCTTTATGTCCAATAATGTTGGCTTTTACTGCAGCATCTCCTCTTTATAGAGGTTATTTAACAGACATTGATTGTCGTTGGAATGTGATTTCCGCATCTGTAGACTGCAGAACAGCTGAAGAAAGGGGATTGAAGCCACTAAAGAATAATAAATTTAGAATTAATAAATCAAGGTATGACTCGATTGATTCATATTTGTCGGAAAATGGTGAAAAATACAATGACGTTCCATTATTGTATAATGAGGAAGATTATCAACAACTCCGTGAAGGAGGTATCGATCATTTATTGGCGCAACATATTGCTCATTTATTCATTCGTGATACAGGTGATTATAACTTATTTTTATTGTTGTATGAAGTTCAAAATTTAACATGGCTATGATTCACAGTTTCACTATTTAGTGAAAAAGTAAATCAAAATGATGAGGAAGAGACCGATCATTTCGAAAACATTCAATCAACGAATTGGCAGACAATGAGATTCAAGCCACCACCTCCGAATTCTAGGTATGTAATCAGAACAAGGGTTTTCAAGTTACACATACTTAACATACCTTTATTTGCTCTTTTCTTTACAGTATTGGATGGCGTGTTGAATTTAGGTATGTCTTAAAATAAAAGTATAAACTAGTAGAGTCTCCCATCAAGCATGAAGGGGATAAATAATTAATTGGGACACGAAAAATACCAATTAAACAAAATTAAAATCATATCCAATAAATCGATTTCCTTACAGGCCATGCGAACTACAACTTACAGACTTCGAAAATGCAGCAATTGTTGTGTTTGTGGTTTTGCTTACACGAGTCATTCTCTCATTTAAATTAAACTTTTTGATACCAATCAGTAAAGTAGATGAAAATATGCAAAAAGCTCAGAAACGCAATGCATGCATGCAAGAAAAGTTTTGGTTCCGAAAAAATGTAAATGATAACAAGAATGATTCTGGCTGTGAAGCAACTACAGATGAGTGTGAAGGATGTGAATTGTGGACAATTAATGAGATTATTAATGGTAAAGATGATTTCCCAGGACTAATTCGCCTTATCAATCAGTATTTAGCTTCAATGGAAGTAGATGCAGATACACATTGCTCAATTCAACAATACTTGAAGTTGATTCAAAGGAGAGCTTCTGGAAATTTATTAACAACTGCATCATGGATAAGAAAAGAAGTATTAAACCATCCAGATTATAAGTAAGTAATGCTCTTGAGGGTTTACACTTTTGTGACGTCATTTTTGAATGCCCCCATTTATTAAAATTTACTTGTAATTCTTTCCAAACATAGAAATGATTCAATAGTAACTGAAAAAATAAACTATGACTTGCTGAAAAAAGCAAAGAAGGTCCAAGAAGGGTTATTACCATGCAACGAACTCATAGGATGCTTCACAAATTCCAAAACTTCAGAAAATATTCCACCAGCAATTGCTAAGCAACACGAGCCAAAAGCTCCAAATGGAAATTAATCGCATTTTTTTTATGTCACCTTATCGTATCAAAGTGGAACTTCTAAGAACAATTGAATCCATACTTTTTATTACTTATGTTTAAAAAGCAGCATTTCCGATTGTTCAGTCGTTTCTTGTTTATTGTAACACATTCTTTTATATTCGTACGCAGCATAGAACAAAAAGTGCACTTAACAGACTTTCTGATTGTATTTCTTAGCATATAGTTTAAATTGGATTTATGATGGTATTTATATTATTTTATTTAAATAAATATTTTGGGAAAATGTTAAAAATATATAAATCTCGAGTTTTTAATTGCTAACCTCAAATCTAGCACCGGATCTTTCAAAATTGTCTGAGGAATGTTATATCATCCATCCATTCAGTCTACTCACTCCAAATTCCCAGTACATGTAACATTAAACATCAAAATAACGTCACCCAGATAAAATTCCTGTTTACATCGCTCAACCTTGACATGAATTGTCAATTACATGTACTACATAATCAGCAGTTGATAAAAACATGACAGCCTGAAAATTTGACATAAAACCTTTCACAGCTTTCCAAGTTCATTAGTCAATCAATGTTTGACACGTGATTTAATTCCATATTTACAGTTAGTCATGTCAAAATTCTGTTTGTTTAAATTATGATGAGCTCATCAATTGAAAATTTCATTAATTGACATAAAATATTTCGGAAATAGTTTGCAGTATAAAGAGAAAGTCATTCAACAAGCTGATGATTGCAATCGATTGATAAAATCAATTTTCTTCCTCCCAAAAATAAAACACATAACTGAATTAAGTTTAATTATTATGCTGTAAAAAGAAAACCAAAAAACGCAAATTGTAAATGGCTATATTGAGGCTATTGAAGCTATTTGAAGTTTCGGAAGTAACAAAACTTAGCTTTCGTTCACGATTGACGCGAAATCGAATAAAAAAATGTTTATAATTTTTCACTTCATACTTCAGCAAGTCAAATCGAATGGATATTATATGGTGTAATTTAATATCGAGCCTGAGTGGCTCAATTTTTCGATCATCATTAATTATTTTTTTATGTTGTTCCTCATCGTATGGTCACAAAATGTCTCTGGTTGACCCTCAAAATAATAAATTAAAGAGAAGAATTTACCTTCCTTTATGATCTTGCATAGAGTTCTCATGTTGAACATTGGATCTTGAACAATTTATTGCAGGGTTGGAAGGTAGATACGCCTTCAAATTGACTGGAAGTAGTGTATCATTTAAAGGTGAAGATCAATATATTTAATCTTTGAAATATTGCAATTTATGGAGATCCTTCTCAATCCCTGACCTATCCTAAACAGTTTAAGAATCATCAACAAACCTTATTGAATCTTAATTGTCGTGAGACGTCCAGCATTGTGTCAGATTAGAATGATTTTAAGAATTTTTGCTAATTCAATTGTCATTCATCTTTGTCGTATTCTAGCCGAGAATCAATCAATCATGTCAGTAATCTAATTGAAACAATCTGCTTACAAATTTTCCCGCCAATATTTTTTCTTACTAATTTTTCAGCAAACAAAATAAATCCCATAACAACTTTAATGGATATACTATTACCGTAGGCTAATACAGTTATGTCAATAAGTACAATCTCACACCATGCGGCTGCATGCAAGGTCAATAAATGTTTCATCAAAGCAGAAGGCATACACAAAAAAAACCGCAGACACTTTACTCACTTGAGAAGCTACAAAGTTATTGTCATTATTATTGCTTCCAGTCAATCAACGCATATTTATAAAGGCACTGGAGATATTTTTTTGAATTACTACTAATGACTCAGTGGGAAAAGAAGCTTAATGTTTAAGGTGTGCAGACTTTTATCATCTATCGAATTTAGGTAGTTTGAAGTAAGTTCTTCCTTAATTCAAATTAAAGCGTTCAATTATTAATGGATATGCTGTTTATTAAAGATTTATCGTAATGACATCATTGATATATTTTTTTTTGTCATGTTATGGTCTGTGAATGATTCAGAATGAATGTTAATTAAAATATTCTTAGAATTTTATTGAGTAGCTTGACAGATATCCTGATTGAAGATTGTAAGGAATGAATAGGATTGTATTTAAGAATTGTGAGAAAATCTTGATAGAATCAGTCTTTAGAGTCTCTTAGGATTTTATGGTCAATTAGGAATTGGTTAAAGATGGATATAAAGTTTAATTGTAGGTCCTTTTATTGACGTCGTGGATGAGTCTCGTTAAGATCTAGTATAAAACTCTTTAGGGTCAAGGTAAGACTAGCAAGATTCGAGCATTATATTAAGCAGATTCGAGTTTTAGGAACCTTTAGCAACAACTGTAAGAGAGTAGAATCTCAAAAACCAAAATTGTATTTCTATCTTCGATCCTGCAACTAAAACCAAACATATCCTGTTTAATGCCAAAACAATAAAATTCCACAAAATTCCAAAAATCATATCAAATAATAATTAAATTTTTATACACACTCATTACCGGGTGGTGGCATTAGATAAATTACATAATAATATTAAAAGCGTAACCAACTCCACCGCATCTGTGTGTAAAAAGCAAGTCAGTGTAAGCAGACTAACAAGCTCAACCGGAGAAGAGAAAATAGTACAAAAATAAAAGATATTTATTTTCATCGCTCTGGAACTGTCTAAGGCAGTATTATTTATATTTTTATGCACTCTGATCAAATTCATTATACAATGGAAAAGAGAGCAAATTCATGGAATTTTCAAAATATAGTTTAAATAATAAATTCATATCCGAATTAATCGAGCTCGTATATTTTATGGCATAACATTCCTTTTTGCATTCAATTGTGCAGTAAGTGCAGAAAACGGAAACTCGTTTCATATGGTTTGTCATTAATTTGTGTATGATTAATAATCATTTAAATATTAACTTTTAATTTTCACATGAAAAATTATACAACGAACTCTCACATCATAAATGTTACGCATTTGCTTTGTCCAACTTCTATCACATATTATGTGTGTGGCTAATGTCTTTGTAACAAGATGCCAATTGCGTAAACAAAATAAAACAAATAATGAGTAGTTTGTGAATGATGTTCTTAGAAAGTTTGATTATTGGAACCTTGTTCATTTAAATTTATCCTAATCTAAGCTGATTTAAATTGAAGTTGCTTGATTCGATCTTATCTAGCAGGATTTGACTTAGTTCATTCACAATTGAACTAATTTGATGTGATTTAACCTAATCTTACTTACTTACTTTGATGACTTTAAAGATCAGTTGTGATCTATGGCCTCCCTAAATTGCCACCTAATACTGGCTCTACCGCTGGCTCCCGCTTGAAAATTTCCTATACCAAATGCAATACTGTCTCTATCAACAGCCTAATCTAATAGGATTAAACCTAGTTCAGATTCGTTCAGTCTAATATAAATGTTTCAAACCTAATTGAACATGAAACCTAGTGAATTGATGTTTATTTAAAAGGAGGAAGCCCCGAATAGCACATGAAACAAACCCCAGACATCATTTTCGAACAACCCCTAATAAGTTTGCCGTCTTTTAATCTGGGACACAATTTAAATTATAGATAAATGTTTCGCATTAATTACATAGCAGGTATCCTTACACACTCAATTTATTTTCACTCTTTCACCGACATTCATCAGCCTTTTGCCTTTTAAAGCATTCCTAATGTTATTATACACACGACGTTATTAATTTATAAACTATAATATAGATGGATATGTTGATTACGATTAAATAATATAAAAATACTCGATATATGTAATAAACTGTCACTTTATATACACGTACGGGTATAAATTTTGTTGTTTAGCGGTAACAATACGCACGTAAATTAGGTTAGTTTATAAACAAGTTCATATATGATCGAAAATAATTGCAGTTTAAATGCTTCAATGTGTTTCAAATTGATGGGAAATGGTTTTCATAGCTGAATGATTTGTTCGATTTTTGTGCAAATATTTGAATGGGTTTGTTGCTTTGACTTTGACAACAACAATGGTTCAAGTTTGGCTATAAAGAATTGCAAGGTACATGATCGGCGAGAAGAAAAAGAAATGCGTGAAATGTGTTTCTTTTCAGCTTCTGAATTATTTATGTGCGAATTGATATATTATGTTTGGAATGAGTCATTTCTATGGCTTCAGGAGTAATTGATTCATAGGATATTTTACAAATGATCTTTGGTTAAGTTTGAAGGTATGACATTCGGATATTTCTAATAAATATTTTAAAAATCTAGAGTCTAGACAAATAGCAATGTAATGACAAGAAGCACAAATTCAATGTTAAGTTTACACAGTCTTATAAGTTTGAGATGCTGCAACGTTTTTCCAAATGCATGTGAATCTGATGAGGCAAAGTTGTGATGCTTTAAAATTCTGAATCTATCAGTGAATATTTCCCATAGTCCAATTCCAAAAAGCACCAACATACCAAAATTTAAATTATATTGATTAAATATTTAACCACAATTATTTCACTCCTAAATTTAAATTATTCAAATTAAGTTATGGCCTTAGCGGTGCTTAAAGCTTTCACAATCATCATAATCATATACAAATTTCTCTCGTGTAAATATCACGAGAATGCTCAAGCTTTGCGGTTTACATAAATTTAGGAGCAGAAAAAAAGGTTTTCTCATTTTTTCTACCTTTTTTTCTCGTCTCAGATACAAGAAGGAGATGCGTCCATAAATTTTTCGTCGGTAAGCTGGTAAGGTAAATTTATATAAATCATAATAAATTTTTAATCATGAAAAACTTGATCTTTTATTAAGGCTGTAAAAAATTACTTTAATTTAATTCGTATGGCAAAAATCCTTACAAAATGTTTATCTAAAGTTCATTTTTAAGCAACTTATTCTGAGTCTGACTAGTATATTCATACAAATTGTCTGGTTTATGATGAAATTGATCGATTTCTGATGCGAGTTCAAAGTATCGTTTTCTGAGAAGATGTGCAGCTGCTTTTGGCTGTCGACTTCTTGTAAATACTCCTTTCTTATTTCCACCAACTCTCGTGTATGTCTGTGCTGTTTTAAAGTCTGCAAAATTCCACACAAATTCTCCTATAAAGAATCCCTCACTTCTCAATTGGTCGAATGCCTTGAAATGCTTGGAGAATTGTTGTGACTGGATGGGGATGAAAAATTTCTGAGCAAAAAATAATTTTTCAGGAATTTTTATGAGAAATTTACCTGAAACTCTTCCGACCACACATATGCTGGCAACATATGCAATCCTTCAACTGTATCTGCTCCATATTCACTCATCAAGACTGGCTTTCCATGCTTTACATGCCAATCTCTAGCCTCATTCTCGACATAGCTTGTGACCATGTCTAGTCTGCCAGTGTTTTGGTACCATGCATTGTATCTGAGACATATGAAAGTATGCTTAGTGATGCTTTATTTAAAATTAAGGATCAGATCCTTAATGTGATTTAAAATGACTTAAAGACCCCCACCCCATAAATTGGAGGCTCAATGCTACTGAATAATTCCTATCAAGTCATAACGACTAGATCCCAGAAAAAAGTATTGAATAGGCCAGCAGCCTTTATAATTACTCACCTATTAAAGCTAATAATATCTAAATACTGAGCTGCCTGATCTTGCTTAAAATTTACAGCAATTGCAGCTGTGATTGGTCTCGTTGGATCTAATTCCTTTGTGTATCTTGCAACTTCTGCAAAATATTGATCAGCACTTGTTTGCTGTGTTCTTGGCTCATTTGCAATTGACCACATTACTACAGATGGATGATTTCTGTCTCGGTGAATGAGTTGCTCGATGCTGTATTTGTGGTTTTCTAATAATTTTTGGCTGTAGTTTCTGTTGATTAAATGTTAATTTTGTATTATTTTTAGAACAATTGAATTTGAAGCTACAATGTACTTACTCTGTATCCACAGATGGACATTCATCGATAATCATAATTCCGTATTCATCTGCAAATTGCATTGATTCTTCTGAATAGGGGTAGTGACTTGTTCTGGTTTTAAGAGGGAAAAATTGACTAGCTTTATGGATACTCTATTAATAATCTTCAACAAGTGGTACTTACCGATAAGCATTAGCGCCAATCCATTTCAAGAGATTAAAATCTTTTGTTAACAATGCAAAATCGAGTCCCTTTCCTCTTATGTCACTATCCTCATGCCTTCCAAAACCACGGAAATAGATTGGCTTATCATTGATTAACATCGACGAATTGTTCCACTTGAGAGATCTTATTCCAAATTTAGTTCTATAAATGTCAATTATTTCATCATTTAATGTTAATTGAATTTCAATTGAGTATAAATATCCTGGCTGAGGATGCATCAAATATGGCCACCACAGATTTGGGTTTTTAATTAAAATTTCACCATTGAATGTATCATTGTTGGTGCTAGATTCTGCAACATTGTTATTGTCTTTGTCAAATACAATAGCTTTAATATTGTACTCATTTGTTGAGTTATCATTTAACACGACTTTATAGTCAACAAGGCCATCCCTTTCCTCCGTCACTTTTGGATTAAGAATCACCTCCTTTATGAACACGTAAGAGGTTGTATATAAATGCACAGAACGATGAATACCAGCATAATTGAAGAAATCAAAACTATATTGCTGTATTATTTCCTTTCCATTATCTGAATCCTGTTCTACAATTTTCCCTTGAGGAATTGTTGTCTGTAGCAATACATTATCACACAGCACTGTTATTCGATTCTCTTTTGCGAAATTTAAATATTCTGTGATTTCTGCCTCGAAAGGAAGATGCCCGAACTCATGACGCACGACGAGATTACCTGTTGCATGTATTATTTATTTAGATTAATTTCGTTTTTGTGGATTTACAATTTTACTTTTTATGAACTTGGAGTGAATTTGAAGTTTATTGAGGATTCAATTGATGCCGTGGTAAAGCTAGAAGGAGGTTCTTTAAGTGTAAAAATTGAAGAAGAAAATTCAGCAAATTTTGGGAAAAAAAATATCTTAATCAAAGTGATGAAAGGATCTAGAATAACCACCGTCTGCATCCACTCATACAATATCCCAAGCTTCAATGAATTGTAATTCAATTATTTATCCACTTTTCAACTTGCCAGATACTCTTTAGTGCATCTTAAAAAATTCTATTTCTATTTATATTTTCCATGTGCATAAATTACATCCATAGTGCAAGGTGCCGTTCACTTATTACGTAACGCAAAAAAACTCCTTTTACACCCCCCCCCCCCCCCTCGTAACAAAATTTGTATGAAAAAAAATTTCTTTTGTTTGAACCGTAACAAAATCTTAGACCCCCCCTTCCCCCTAAAAGCGTTACGTAATAAGTGAACGGCCCCCAAGGTAATAAAGATGGATTTTAAAGAATGTAAATGCACAGAAATATATCTTTAAGATCGTGTGTTATCTGCTCTATAATGTGTTTTTCTAAGTCATGTGTATTTTTAGAGCGACTGCTAAATGATCTGTATTGGAATGTGCTGTAAGTCAAGTTTTGAATCTGAGCGGTATCTGACAACCCATAACATTGACCAATAGCTTCAAATTAGATTAATTGTTTGAATTAAAACGACAATTTCCTTACAAAATTCACAGAACAGCCTTCAACTTAATAATTCCTCAAAACTTAATTTTCCAAGTCTACAAAAGCAACAGCAAACTCACCATTAATCCAAACATAAGCCTCATAATGCACACTTCCAAATCTCACCCAGACTCTTTGGCTTTTCCACGACTGTGGAACGAAAAATTTTCTTTCATACCAGACAGTTCCAACATGATCTCGAAATTCACTCTCCTCAACAATGTCATTGTAGCTGTCAAATTTTTTTATGGTAAATGGAGATGTTAATTAAGTTGTAAGGGAATTGTGTAAATTAAAAAAAATACCTTGATGGCACTGGCATGTTTATCACATTTGTTGATTCTCTTAATTCTCTCATATACCATTTTTCTCGTAAGCCTACGGATGGCTTGTTTGTATCACTCTTTGCAAAATGCCACATTCCATCTAGTGATCGTACCTCTCTAGTCTCTGATTCACGTGGGTACAAGAGACCCTGTGTGACTCTTTCGTTACCGGAAAATAACATTGTACCGAAAACTATGTGTACCATGTACCCAATGATTCCCATCAGTAGAAATGTAAATGCTGTAAGATAGAACAATTTTTTACGCATTACAGCATGTGTGCTGATAGAGCGACTTCCAAAATATAACTAACGAAAGCGAACTCAAACAAAAAATCAATTATTCAATATAGAGAAAAAGTATATGCTTTAGACTTGCTGCTACAGAGACTAAATTGTTTATATAAACAGAACAAAACAGCAGTTCTCGATGCTGATAAGTATTTTTAACTATTAATTTATGGATTTTATTTCTCTAAAACTTAATTAATCTTTTAAATTGATGAAATTTTAAAATTATTTCTAAAATGTAAACTGCAATTAAGTTTTAACTGAAAACAAAACTAAAGTGAATCATATCTGAACAAACTAAATGTGCTGTGCCTTATCATCTATAACTAAGTGTCATATAGCAAGGAATTCATGAAATTATCTACAGTGATCTGTTGTAATATAAGATACATATTATCAATATTTATGTTTTGGGTTTATGATTTCATATGATTTGTTATTACTACAGGGTTGGAAAATAAGTTTTTGATAGCTATGCACTGAAAAAATTAAACATGATTTTTGAGTGACTTTTATAAAGAATTTCTCTTATACGAAAGTATTCTAAAGCAACAGACTTCGATTTAGAACTATTTGAACCCCATTCCCTTCCAACAAAGCTTCGTCAATGTCATAAGGATTGACAAACTAATGTGATGCAAATGTCAACAAATAATATTTTGTATGAGTTCATCTGGAAAACTTAATATTGACTCAAATATATTGCAACTGCCTCAAAAATCTGGCTAAGTGTTCTAATCAAAAATCCTCATAACAAAGAGCTATTATCAACCTTTTTTTGACGATAAGAAAATCTCAATTGAGAAATATTATGGCAATTTTGAGAATGGCACATGATAAAAAGATCTGTCTCATAATAAATTCTATGAATGAGACTTATCAGATGAGATTCATTCAAATATGTAGGACATTGCGATCATTTTGTTATTTTGGATATGTGAATTCTAAAATTGTATTATGTGTGACGAATTTCTTGTCTTCCTTTATTTTTGTATTTATTGGATAGATGTTCTCTTGATATTTGGAGGAATTTATTGTCATAGTTAAGTAATTTATCTCTTGTTGAACTCAATTGCATCTCTTTCACATGACATCATGTCGTTCCCGCCAAAAACTCTGACGTAAAAAAAATCCACAGACGTAATAAACTTTTTTTCACTTTCATGCTCAGTTCTCACACCCTTCAATTACCTATAAAGGTTCATTTGAATGAAACTTCTCAATGAATAAGAAAATTGCGCACAGCTGACTGAATGCTCACCACAGAATAATTTTATTTTGAAGTCTTATCTTTATTGCCATGACTTGTTGCAGTCTCGTGACTTTTAGTAAAATACTTGTTAGAATTATATGAATATATTCTTAAGGGGCCGTTCACTTACGACATCCAGGGGGGGGGGGGGGGGGGGGGTCAGCAAGAAAAGAACAATAGAAATTCCTGGAAATCCATTGTACTTTTTTGAACCGTTAATTTTGAACGTCATAAGTGAACGACCCCTAATATCAAAAGGGGACATCCAATTATTAGGTTAATGATTTAGAATTGAAGAGTTTGATGTTTAATTTTGAGTTGATCACAAGTATTAATGTTAGTGCTACATCGTGTCAAATCCAGATGCTACATCACTGAGCTGAATTAATAAATTTATAATGTTAAGCTAACGACCGCGAAAGCAGTTAAAACCTTCTTGTCGATTGAGAAGAGAGTAGCTAAACAAATATAAATTTCAAGATTCACAGATGTAGATGATGTGATGATGACTAGAACTTCAAAATTTAGTCTCAAGTTTTGGAAACCTTTTCAACTAGATGAGTGAGTCAGTTAACACTTGTAATGGATGTGTCAATAAACGATTAATGCTTAAGTGCTTATAAAAATTGATAGTAAGTGAATGAACAGAATCTTCAAAAATAAATGAGCGAAAAGATGTCTACTTTTGGGAGATCATTGATCTTTTATAAAACGTATTTCAGTGAACTTTGCTTAACTGATCTTTTTTGAGAGTTCTAGGACTCAATATATCAACAAAATGAGTATTTTGAGCGATTTTCATTTAAATCTGAACGTTATCATTTAAACAGTTGAATTGAATTTATAATGCATACACATAATGTCATCGACTAATTATCAGTCAATTAATCAAAAAATAATTTCTTTGTGTCTCGTAAATCAAGCTGATTGTAGAGTTGAATTATTCATTCGGAAGCTTATTGAATTGATTTATGATTTTAATGTTGAATGGAAATTTTCATTATTTGTTGAACTTTTTATGCATTTGCTGGATTTTTGACATTTGAAGTTGATTTTTAATTAAAGTTTGCCTCCAAAAATGCTGAAAATCTAGCTGGTTTGTAATCCTAGACTTTTGCTTTGTTTTCGGAATCATCTAAGAATCAACACTATTAAAAATGAGTCAGACTTGAAGTTTGTACTCAATTGATTATCACTTAAACTCATTGTACAATCATAAGAAAATTTAATCAATATGTTATATCCATGTATGATGATTCAGTCTTGTGATTTGTGCACTAATGTTGTCTGTGAGTTTTTAAAACCCAATAATGCTACTCAAACAACCTAATTATTATCAAATTATTGAAATTTTCAACATACTAATTCATACACAAATAAATGTCAACTCTACAGACCTAAATCCAGATTTCATATCTACACCCACAAATCTCACCTCCTCGTTATTAACACAAAAGGAATTAACTCATTGATTTTTTTCACTTCCGAAATTTTCTTTTTTTCTTGTCATTTCCTTAATTTTTTCTCGACCAACAAACAAATTCCTTTAATTAATTTACAGCTTGCATGTTCGTGCGATAAAAATAATGGACTAAGTCCAAATAAAGAAAATTTTCTAGACACCAATAAAAAATCGGAACTAAACACAACTATAAAAATACTTTAAATTTGTCAAATAAAAATGAACTGGAACTAATTTAAATCCAATGCAATAAATCGAATCATGCTTAAAATTCAATTATCATCACTTTCGGTGTTACTTACAATTTACACTTAAGGTTTTCATTTTTTTTTACACAATTTGACTCTCAATTCTAGTAAAAATTGCTTTCTTTAATCCGTAGCCGAAAAAGTGATGGAGCAAACTGAAGACAATTTGCAATTTTCTCGTAGCTTTTTATACAGACACTTTTACTTATTATTTATTCTCAATTCTCAATATTCTATCTTTATTTGCTTATTAATTTCTCAAGAGTTTATACTTCGAGTGATTATATATTATTTTTTTGGAGTGTACTTAAGCTTGTTGGATGAACGTACTATGTGCTATATTTATTGTTAAAAGGCTTTGATTGATAACAAATTGATTAGTATTCACAACGAATTCTTATTAAGGTGGTTTTAATCAGGGACTAAAATGATGTTTTTTCATCACTGATGAAATAAATCATCATATTTTGATGAGCAAAAACATCGTGATTTTTTTCATCTTACGTACATTACTACGTAATTAAAACTCACGTAAGAAAAATCACACGTGAAATTTAATCACGCAGGGCAAAAATTATCATTTAAAAATTTTCTGTGTACGATTTCTGTTAATGATGTTGAAAATGGTTAAAAATTTATGCGCATATAATGTTCTTAAGTAATTTATTTTAAATACTTACACATTATAAAGCATTAATAATTAATTTTGTAAACTTTGATGGTATTAAAATCAATTAAAACAATAAGTTTAAATTCTAAATTTGTGTGATTTTTCTATGGAACAGCAAATATGAATCTGTAGAAAAATTACCGACACTAGAAACAATTTTCGGACAAATTTAATTAATTTTAATACTATTTAAGTTCACAAAATAATTTATTAATGCTTTATAATGTGTAAGTATTTAAAATAAATTACTTTAGAACAGTTTATGAGCATAAATTTTTTAACCATTTTCAACATCATTAACAGAAATCGTACACAGAAAATTTTTAAATGATAATTTTTGCCCTGCGTGATTAAATTTTACGTGTGATTTTTCTTACGTGAGTTTTAATTACGTAGTAATGTACGTAAGATGAAAAAAATCACGATGTTTTTGCTCATCGAAATATGATGATTTATTTCATCAGTGATGAAAAAACATCATTTTAGTCCCTGGTTTTAATTAATCAAATTAAAGCATTTAAAGTGAGCGAAAATGAAATTTAAATAAAATTAAACAATGAAAAGTCAATGATTATATACAAAAAATATATTTGTGATTTTTTAGAGGCTTAGACACTGGAGATTGTAGTTTTTTTTTGAGTATAATATTCAGTTTTAAGACTCTCAGTTTGGAATCTGTTTTCTAAGATCTTTAAAAGTTGTGAAACAATAGCGACTGCTGCTTCATATGAGGATTCATAAATTTAATGCTAAAGAGTATGGTTTGATCTTCGGTGTCAACACTTCTTGCTAATCTACTAGATAAGACTAAACTTTAGTTCTTGGCATTAAGCTAGTCACTATTGATACAACTTTAGTGATTTTTGAAATAAAATAGATTCTATTCAATTTTAACCAAGGCAGTTTCAAATACAAATCAATTATTTCATACTAAATACTGTTGATTACTGTCAATAATGACCGTAACCAATATTTTAAGTAATCTGGGATATTTAATTTTCGACAATATTGGTGATTTTTGGAAGAATTGAAGGAAAGAATTAAAAGAAATATCTAAACTTTATTTGTCATAGAATGTGCAATATTGATCATCAATTCTGGTTTAAATGCTTACCCTGTTTTTTCGTTATAAGCTACTACTCGTTACTAAGCTACTAGCTTAGTAAAGTTTTTTCGAACTTGAAAATTTTTTGTAATCTTTACTAAGCTACTACTAAAAATATAGTTTAATTAATCTTTTTCAACTTTTTAAGTATCAGTTTCAATGTCTTATGACATTGTCAATGAAATAAAATCGAGAAGATAGCAAAATGTCTTTAATTAAGTTAAAAAATTCAAAATTTTCATTGAAGTTCAATTTCTTTACTAAGCTACTAGTGATCGAAAAAAATCACTTTTTAATTCTTCTAAGCTACTAGCTTATAACGAAAAAACAGGGTAAGTTTTTAATCAACATTTGAGTTTTTAACGTTTTATCATTTCAAAAATTATGCAGGTTGAATATTTTGATCTTCTTCTAAGAATTTTTTTACAATATTAATTAAATGGTGTCAAAATGTTTTGTTCTATGACTGTTAACTGATAGTTTCCGATTATCTCATACTGCAACAAAAATGCCTTTAAGTGCTAAGTTCTATGGAAAACACCTTCTAAATGAAATCAAAATAAAATGACTCATTCCATTCAAGGCTTTTGTTGTTAAATCACACATCCAACTCTGATTTTGTGTAAACTTTTAATTATCGCATTAGTATTAAGTCATGAAGTAATTTTTGAAGTATTTATGTTTATTTTGGCTGAATTCAGTTTATCAAATAGTAAATTTATTAATGATAACAATTGTCATCTTTTTAAGATTAAGCTTCATATTTTCATTATTTATTATATTTGTCCAAATAATTTTGATAGTAAATGTTCCTAGAACAAACTAGGTCATAAAGAATTAACGACGGGCAGTCATTCTTTTATTATTATTAATTAATCAATAAACTGTTGCGACTTGGATTAGATTAATAATAAGCACAAATCTCAGCAGTGTCTAAACCACCTCAAACTAGCACCATTGCATGATAAATAATAAATAAGAACCAAAAATCCTTACACTGAATTACTTCAAAGATTCTATGATAAAATCTTTGATTATAATGCAAGCCATTTCTATGAGTAATAGGCATAAAACACAGTTTAATACACTATTATCCGTATCTTAATATTTTCTCATCCACAAAGTCTTTAAAATCCTTTAAAAACTTTTAATTTGATTTTCACAGAATCAAAATTTTATCCACAATAACAAGAAAATAAATCGCCGATGTTTATTTACTGTCGAGTGTCGAACGAACGAACACAAAATAAAAATAATTCAAATTTTTTAACAGTTACGTCGACATGTGAAGCAACTTATCACAGCTATGAGACAAATACTTACAGAATAATATGAAAAATCCACACCGTTTATGTTTTAATCGCAGCACTTCTAGTAACATTCCTACTCATTGTACGATAGAAATAAAACTAAACTTCGGAAATGTGAAAAAAGTAAGTTCCTTTTGCCACATTTTAACATTGTATAGTGTGCTGGGCAGTAAACAAACTATATCGTGACTTGAAACAACAAATGTATGAATAATTAAATTAAGTTTTTTTATATGATTGGATAGTCGTTAGATGGTGACAATTTGATTAACGTTTTGTGAAAAGTAATTCTTATTTTCTTGTTCTTGTTCTTGTTCTTGGGGGAGGTGGACATAGGGCTGATCAATAAAAAATTATTATTTTTATTATAATTGATCATTAAACTTATTGTTGTCCATTCTTTTATGGATGTGTTTGGCAAGGGTTTCTTTGAAATAAAAGAAAGAATTGGACACAATTTAATAAAAACGTGAAAAAATTCAAACCTTTCAAAACCTTTAAACTCAAATCTCTCAAAACCGTTAAAAAGTTCAAATTTTGTAAATTTGTTAAGAAATTCAAACATTAGAAACTCAAAGCTTACAAAAACGTTAAGAAATTCAAACTTTTCAAAAACTGTTAAATATTCTTATCCCATTTTTTACCCAAATGCGCTCTCCGTTGTCAATGTTACAACACTGCAAACAACATTACAAGACATTTGTTCTTGACAATCCTTTTTAATCGAATTTACTATTATTTTCATTTACCCGCGGTGTTTTTAACACATTCATTTTCTATAATGAGCGATTGAACACACTATCAGATCTCGTGGCATATCCTGTATGGAAATTTAAAAGCATTTGCCTAGCCTTTTTAAAAAGAAAGCGATTCCTTTGTTTTTCAGAGCCACAATAAGAATTTTACCATGAAGGGTGCACCTTTCTAATTGAGAAAATATACGATGAATTAGGGAATTGATTTTATTACCATTTGTTAGAACTGCCTTAATGTATTTTCATTAATTTATAAATTTTGACTTATAACATGCGAGCTGATTGACTAGGTGAAATATTAAAAGAATGAGATTTTTGTGTTGAAATTTCTATGTAAATATTTGTATTGGTGCCAAGTGCATGTTTGCGAATATTTGGGACTGTTTTGGGTCGTGACTAGGTAACCTAATGTCTAGAGATACGCAGGTAATGAGCACTTCCAATATTAATGAGCACCTCCATAAAATATCATTCAAAATACATAAAAAATAATTTAATTTTAATAAATATTCAATTACAAGATCGATAAATTCAATTTGTCATTGAACTTGTTGCTACATAAAAATTAAATTCAACGTTTAATCATGTGCTGGTGAGTAAAAAGTACTGAATTCAGGGCTATATGGCAATAAATCTGATTTTTTTCTGTAATTTGTGTCAACACGTGGAGTAAATGTTTACTTTTTTGCGCACTTTTGAGCATAAATGTGTATATTTTGAGGGTTTGTGTTACAATCACTGGTAATAGGCTTTAGTTGGTGTTGTTTAATTGCTTTATTTGATTGAAGAGTTGTATGCTTATTAAATTAAGCAGTTACTTATGAAGCTATTATCATTAGTTGAATAAAATTGTTTAAATATATTTTGAAATTGAAAAAATGAAAGAAAAAAATCAATTTTAAAATTCTTGCAATGAAAAATAAAAAAAAATTTAAGGGATCATTCACTTATGACGTCCGTGATTTAATAAGGAAGGGGTCTACAATTTTGTGACAGCTCAAACAAAGGAATTTATTTTTTCATATGAATTTTGTGACAGATGGAGGGGGGAGGGGTTAATAAGACGGACGTCATAAGTGAATGACCCCACATTTTAATTTTCAATGCATTGCAAAAAATTTATGACAAAAGCCAAAAATTTATTTTTTTTTGCTCCAAATTGAAATAAAATTGAAAAATTAAAATTTTAAATGAAATGAAAAAATTTTGGAAATAAGCTATTTGAGGCAACAAAATATGCAACTGTTACAGTTGTGGGAGTTAAATTGAATTATTTTTTCTCTCGGAAAATTGAATGACAACTGAAAATTTGCTAGATATTAATGCACAAAAAGTTGTGAGTCATTGACTCACTGCACGAATTTTATAACAGCATTTAAAAATTAATTACTATGGATGACTAATAATAGAGAGCTTCATTCAGACTGTAATTTACGACTTAAAGCTGAACTAGCTTTAATAATGAAAAACATTAATTTTGCCAAAATTAAAATAACATTTCGTGTGACGTTCTTGAGCTTAAATTTCCATACACAAGCACAAATTTATCGATTCTGATTTTGCAGACAAAAAGAGTACTTCCACTTTAGTAATGTAACAGGAGAGCATTATTTTTTTTTCTATACGTTGTGTGAAAGTAAACATGTCATCACTTGATTTCTGCTGTAAATGCTGAAAATTTTGATACAAAGCTATTTGAATTTAATACTTTTTGACAAAGCAAAACTGAAATTTGAGGAATCTTATGCTCCTCAGTTGGAATCCTTGAAATCAAGCTATTTGTAGATCAGTGTTGTAGTGAGAGGGATGGTTCTGTTTAAGCCTTGAGATTCTGACTATGCCACTAGTGAAAAAAATCTAATTCATGTCAAAAAATGTCGGTTCCATCAACTTCCTGATCCTGAAAACAATATCATTAGCTACAAAAAATATAAAAATGACGATTATCTCAATTTTATAATCGCACTTAATTAATAAAAACCAAAATAAAAGTCAACAAGCTTAAATCATCATTTAATGAACCATGCAATGACAAATTTTTATTGTCCAGCAATTAATCTAGATCAATAAAAGTTCAAAACAATGAACAACTTCCCTATTTTTTTGCTATACTTTTGAAGGATGAGAATCAAATTTTCTGCGTACCTGAATGATCATTTAAAACAATTACAACAACAGCAATAAAGTAAGTGAACAAGTACTGAATAATAACTCGTGCAGAAACTCAAATACTCTTTTTTAACTGCATCTCCATCAATCAAGCGAGTTAATTACTGTCGCATCTATTCATTTCTGTATTTTCGACACGTTTAAAGAGCTATGGATATTAAGTTTTATGTTTTGGGAAATTTTACAATGTCAGTAAATTTTTCTTGCCTGAAACAATGACTTCAATGTGGGTAAAACTGCTCATTTGTTGAAATTATAGCACAAGCCGAGATCTATTGAGGGAGGAGGTCTGCTTCAAGTTGTCGAAAAAATGAACAAATTAAATTAAGATGGATCTGATGAGATGAGTGAATTTATTCTTTTTCTTTTTTATCCCAGAGGGGATGAATTTATTCCATTTTAGGAGGCCAGATGAGATGCTGAGCTGAGAACTGGAACAAACTAGAATTTTTAAAAAATTTGTCACTTTTGAAATTTCAAAATACGTTAAAATTTCAATTTATAAATTAAATAAATTAATAAAATTTAGATTTTAAATCTGAGTAAATTTAAATTTTATAAAACTGATAAAGTTTGAATTTAAAAGAAAAAAGAGCGTCCAGCATGAATAAAGTCTTGATTATCAGTCAAACCTTAATTTAAGATAATCACAACTAAATCATCCAGAACCAAACAAAAAAGCACAAAAACCCATCTCCACAAACAGATTAACACTTTTTTGTGTCCTTAAACTTCATCCTTTTGAATTACTCCTTCTACCAAGATCAAACTGTCGATAAGAAATCCTGATAATTTGCCTTAAATGAACTAAGAATGACGTCGGAAAAACACGCAGTGAACCCTTCTGTCTCATCATTATTATGTAATTTTCTCTCTGTCTCTCTATTTTCTACAGATTTATCTGCCTGAACCCATCGCAGTTATGCGGCACAACAAGCAAGTAAATTGATAATAATAAGGGTAGACGGAAGCCTTATTAGATTGACACATGATGGAATTAATTTATTAAAATGAGGAAATTAAATTGAAGTGAAATGAGAAAAACAAGAATGCATGGGAATGCAATTTATTCAGTTGTCTTCAATTGTATGCGACTGAGACGCACAACAAGATGTAATTTAAGAAAAACAAGCCGCAAGAAGAAGATGAGAAGTTACGGCTGCAAAAATAAAACCTTTCCGACAGCTTTTAGTGTATCATCACATAAAGATCTATGCAGGAAAATGTGAATTTGTTACACAATATAAAGTGATGTGTCACAGACATCTACATGATTTATGATGTGAACTTGAGTCAAGGATTCTTTTTTTTTTCGTGTGCTATGCGGATAAATATTACTTTTGGGGAGCCTTGCAATTTTTTTTTGTTACTTGCTCGTTTTTCGCGAGGGCTGTTTAAGTTCACACGGCAGTTGAGAGTGTAAAACAGATTGATTTATTAGACTTGGTGCTGTTATGGGTTGATTTGTCAATGCTGTTGAATTTCAATAATGTCATTTTAGGGAAATTTGGTTGAACATTTTATTCGACGATTTGGATATGCTTGGTGGAGATTTTGATGTGCGAATTAAAGTCATGAAACATGTGGATTTAACTTGTTCTAGCTTTTACCTCAATTGAATCAGAAAAAAATGTCAAACTTTTGAATTAATTGAAACAAAAATTGTCAAACTTTTGCATCAATCGAAGCAGAAAATCCAAAAGTATTGCATCAGTTGATGCAAAAAAAAAAACTTTTGCATCAACTGAAGCAAAAGCTGACGAACTTTTGCATCATTTGAAGCAGATATAAAAGTTTTGCATTAATTAAAGCAAACAAACTCTATCTTTTGCATCAATTGAAGCATAAAAACTCTATCTTTTGCATCAATTGAAGCATAAAAACTAAATCTTTTGCATCAGTTGAAGCAGAAAATCTAAAAGCATTGCATCAATTGAAGCAGAAAAAAACTTTTGCATCGACTGAAGCAAAGACTGACAAACTTTGCGTCGATTGAAGCAGAACATCTTAAAGTTTTGCATCAATCAAAACAGACAAACTTAATCTTTTGCATCAATTGAAGCAGAAAAACTAAAGCTTTTGCATCAATTGAAGCAGAAATGTCAATAAAAATTTCCAATTAAAACAATGAATTATTAATGGAAAATATCCAATCAGCTTATCTAGTCATTCAGCAAATCTCATTTTAATGCACAATAATTGACTATCCAATCTGATTCAAAACCAACTGATTCTAGTAAAATGCATTAGGGTAATTGCGATTGAGGACAGCAAAAAACAATGACACAAAATACCCCGAGAAAATAATTTAAGGTTGACCGCAAAAAAAGCATTTTTCTACAATATATTCTGCATATATGCATCCAAAAAAAAAATAATAATATTTTAAACAAATAAGTTATTTTTAAATCATTGCCGGCAACATGTCGCAATTGCTCATTCATTTCATGAATTAAAATTTATTATTTATGTTAAACTTTGCATGAATGAACAACAAAAAAATATTTTATATGAAAAATCAACAAGCGCATAAGTGTGGGAAAAAAAGTGAATTTTCACATGCAGAATGAGAAAAATCAACAGGTGGACATGCATGCATGCAAGAACGATAACTACCTCAAGTGAGAAATTAGAACCTGCAGTTGACATAGTTGATAATGGTGCAATTATTCTAACGTGACATTATCATCATAAAAATCATCTTTACGTGATAGCTGTGATAATAAAATAGTTTTTATCTCCTTGTGCACGTGGGTTATTGCCATTTATACGATGAAATAACTACAAATCTTTAGACAAATGGACTTTTAGTTTCATTCTCGACAAAACAATGAACTACTCCATAAAACTAATTCTCACGATAACACACTTTTTTGTTTGCCCGCATACTGTACTTACTTTGCTGCTGTATAGACATGATTTTTTAAAGAAAAACTATTGTTTTTTGAATTTTTTGATGTTTTAAGTCTAGATTTTGGGTTTCTTTTGTCTGATTGTCTACTTTAGTGTTAATCGAGTGTGGGTTTATCCAACTGGATATTATGTGCAGATTTACTGGGTATTATGAGGTGTCCAAGTCTATTTTTTGGATTATTCACTTATTTTCTAGGCTGTGGTCATTTTTTGGGGCTACCTAGAGCTTGTTTTTATCCCCAGACGAGGATTTCTCGAAGTGCTCTTACAACCAGTCCTTAGAGTTCATTTAGGCTGATTGTTGCACGTATCCATAGTCAAATGGTGGCTCTATACTAAGAATTGTATCAAAAAACTCAACCTGAAGCTTATAGCTTCAAGAAATGCGCTTCAACATCCCCAATCATAATCAAAAATGTTCCAACTTCCAATACAAATTTGACTATGTCTCTCATACCTCCATTGAGCCCTGCGAAGAGACACAACATAACAATACTCACTTACAGTTGTCGTTATATGTAGAATGAATGCAACTTGCGTCAATTGTTAAACTATAAACTAAGAAAAAAATGCGAACTGTGGCAACTGTGTTTAGAAAAGGAAGGGTTGTTGGAACTAGAAAAAAGCGACAGTGAAACAGAAAGAGAAGGAACAAAAAAAATTTAAAAAAAAAATTCAAATAATTAGCAAGGTCGCTAATGCTGCTATGGAATTATACAATGAAATGGCTTAAAACAATTTATTTATCTCTTCACAGCCTGGGAGCTTTTTTTTTGCACCATTAATATGACGTGCTGCTGCTGGAAGTAGTAGGAAAAATTTATATATACTGGCAATTTTGTTTGTTGGAAAATCATTTGACCATTTTCAGTCTGCATGAAAAGACAGTCCAAAAAGAAGTATTTTATTTGAAATTTTCATACAGCAGTGATTAATAACAACAGCATACAAAAGATGGGATATGTGCAATCTCATCGTAAGGTATGCATCAAATATATTTTATAGTGAAGTGTGCCTCAATAAAAATTAATAAAAACAGAAGTAATTGAAATTAATTAAAATACGTGTTGTAAGCACCACACTTGCCAAAATAAAGTTGTTAAAATAAATGTGAAATATGATGAGTAATTTGTGAACCAGACTCATGTAAAACCGCAATCAACATACGTGCAATTTTTATTGCGGGATGAAAAAAAAATAAAATTTTTTTGTGGCTTCACAGATTTTTTGAGTCAAAAATGTTATGAAAGATCCTGTGGATTAAGGGCCTTTTTCCTGTTACTACGACAGATTTGCATAAATGTGAAATGATTTATTGAGGAAATATTTTTTTATGGATATTTATGGAGTTGGACAATGACACATGTGAAACAATTTAAGGTTTTATGCTAGTGTGTAGAGAGACATAAAATTAGGTTTGGAATTGAGTGTTGAAATTTTGTTGATTGTGGAGCTAATTAGAGAATTGTGGATGTTAAGAATGCCTCAATATTATAGAATAGGATAATGAAATGAAATGTTCAATCGTTTTTGGTGTCTATCAATTTATGTAAGGACATAAAAGTGCCCGTTGGTAGGTTCTGTTCACTTAAACCGAAGGATACAAAGTAGAAGAATCTACTCAGAATTCACATGACTTCGGAGTTCAGTGTAGCTTTCAAATGACACTTATGGCCCAAGCAACTAGGATTATGCTTCTCAATGGCTATTTATGTAAAATTTATTGAAACCTTAGTTATAAACTTGATTGAACTATTCTATTAAAAGTCATTCAACCCAAAAATCAAAAAGAATTAATTCTTAGAGACGAGCTACATTCACTGGTTCAGCCTATTATCTAAATGATTGCCTGAATTAACTCAATTTCATTACATTAAGCTGACTACAGCAATTTCCATGTTACAATAAAACAACTTAATTTCCAAAAATGACTCTGAAAAACCTTTTAACTCAAAAAGTTTGCCGAAAAAAAAATAATTCAAGTTTGCGAAAGAATCAGAAAATAGCCTGCAACAAAATTCCATATTCATAGCTGAAAAGAGATTACATAATGGACATTGAAATTCATAAAGTTCTTCATGTCATTTAAAGACAAACAAACAAAAAAAATCTTTTATTTTATGTTTGCTTTCTCACTGAAAGGGAATTTTTATATATTTTCTCTGTCAGATTTTTCCCATGATGAAGAATTGTGCAATTTTGCTGTTATTGTGTGTTCTTCACATCGCTTATGCTAACGACGAGCTGACACTTGAAATTGAAAGTGATGAATTAATGAAAACTGGAGATTTGGAGCATGCTGAGACAAAAGATGCAAGTGCGACTGAAATCATAAAGCAAATAAGAAAATTGAATCCTGATGGGACGTTCACAATTGGCTTTGAAGCTGTAATTAATTTCAATTGATTTTTTAAAACTGCTGAAAAATTTAATTAAATTTTTTTTATTATTTTTTTTTTTCATTAAAATTCAGGATGATGGATCGTTTAAAATTGAAACGCGTGACTTGCAGGGAAATGTTAAACAGGGCACGTATGGCTATATTGATGAGCATGGAGAAGTCAAAAGGGTTTCATATTCAACACAGAATAATACATTATTTAAAGACTACAAACCGCCCCTATTGCAGCAACAGACAACGTCAGTTAAAGCTGTGGTAAATGAGGAGAATGAAGAAAATGAAACAATAAGTCCAGCCTCATCCTTACGATATAATCGAACATTTGTAGCTACAACACGAAGACCATCATCCCTTGCATATTTGACTAGCACAAACAATCCAAGTACAAAGTCAAGTGTTGTTCAAACAATACCGAAACTACCAAAAAGACGAATTTCAATTTCTGAGCCAAATATTCAGCAATCCTTACAGTCAACTGAGACTTCAAAAATTCCCATAGAAGGTACAACGACCGTTATTTACGCAACATCCGTTCCAACACCAAAACCATATTTATCACGCTCCATGACATCACCAAACTATTCATCGTTGAACAATAATAAAAAAGTTTCAGCAGTGACTGAAAAGGGGGTTGAAATCGATCAAATTGAGCGAAAAGTGTTCATAGCTACGTCAAAGGATGTGACGACATTAAAGCCGATTTTATCAAAAGAGAAAAATGAGGAAAAATCAGAATCATTGATTAAACGTGGAAATACTTTAAGGCGACAATTAAAACCAGACGATGAAGCACAAGAAGCTCAACAGCAAATATTGTATGGCGATGGCGATGAAAGTTCAGCAATATATGGAAGTAGTTTTGGTAATGTTCGACCATTATTCACGACAACGTCACAACCAAAAATTCCACTTCAAGTTCTTGCCGCAAGGCAACGAGCCACACAATTGCAAAACATTTTAGCAAATTCATCGCCGGGAACGACAACGACGACAGAGAGAATTTTTACAAAAGCACCAAAACGACAGAGTAAAGTTAAGGCTATTGAGGAGGCAAAAGAGAATGAAAGAATTTTAACTCAAGCACCGTCTCATGTTGAGCAAATTCCAGCAACACAGCCAACAGAACCACTTAATGATCGAAGAGCTTTTCAAAGGCAATTACCTCCAAATCTTGAAGGACTTTATCGTCCGAGAAATTATTTAAGACAAATGCAGTATCAGCCTCAGCCACAAGCACAAGAATTGCCTGTGGCACCTTTAAATCGGTATGGACAGCAAACTGGGCAGCAGCAACAACAAATTCCTAATGGAATTCCTCCATTCTATCCAGAACAGCAGCAGCAGCAACAACAACAATTACAACAGCAGCCTAGCGATGTATTTCCAGGTCAATTTCCACCATTTTATCCACAAAGAAATCCATATGACTCATCTTATGATAGACCACTGACTGTACGTGATTTCGAGAGATTATTACAGATTTTAGTTGTACGACAACAACAGCAGCCTTTTAGAGTAAATCCATATTATCCATCAACAAATCCACTTGCATATCCTCCATTTATTCCCAACTATAATCAACCGTACTCACAAATCCCACGACCTCCATATTTCAATCCATTACAATCAGGATTATTTGATCCTGGCTACCAAAATCCATATTATAGCTCCTCAATGCCTATAAGTCAGGCTGCAGATACAATGATTCCACAAGGTGGCGGACTTCCATTTATTCCACAGCAGCAACAGCAACAGCAACAACAAGAACAACAGTCAATTGACCCAAATCAAGATGCTCAGAGATTTTCACGTCGTCGTCAATATAATTCAAGATATTTCGGACAACAAAATACACAAGTTCCAAGTCCGCCCATCTCACCAGAGCAAGAAATTAATTATAATTTATTACAAGGCCCTGTTACGGATAATAATCAACTTCCACCGTCTGTACGAGAACAATTACTTTACAGAATGTTAATGTTAGCTTTAAGATCAGAAGGCGGACCACCCTCACCTTATCCACAACAGCAACAATACCAAACATCATCATTAGCATCGTCAGCATCATCTGTGCATTCAGTTTTAGAGCCAGAACAAGAAGAGACGAGTACAATCATCAAAAGCACTGAAAGTAGTTCATCAAAGAAGCCTGTACGGAGTGTTCAAATATTAGGTGAAGAGAAGGAAAGCGAGGAAAATTAATTGATTAATTTAATAAGTTGTTAAGGAACACATGTTAGCTGTAAATTCATTATTTCCCCTCTAGATTGTTTAAGTTGAAACTCAATAAAACATTAAAATGAGCTTTTAAAGTTGTAAAAAAAGTCGTTAAAAACCGTTACAAAATTTAAATAGTTAAGCTTAAAGCGACGCTTCATTTTCAACTCTTTCTTTTTGTGCTTCTCTTATACTTGCGCAAACCATCTCAAATGTATTTTATCCAATTCTCTTCTTTCTTGATGCTTCTTGAGTGTTTTTATTATTTCTTCTTCTCTGTTTTCTTTTGCTTTGATTTTTACAGCGTTTCGCTACCTGCGTGGATGTTTTGGAGAGATACTTGTTGATTCTTATTGAGTAAGAGTTTTGAATATTTTTAAGATTTTTGTGGATTTTTAAGAATTTTTTGGATTTTTTTCAAATTTATTCGAGATTTTGCTTAATTAAAGGGCTGTTCATAAATGATGTCAATAAAAAAATTGAGATTTAAGAACCCCTCCCTTCCCCCCCCCCCCCCCCTGTAACCAATTTTATTGTCAAAAAATTCAGCAAAATAAAATCAAAATTTCTAAAATTTCAGATGCCAAAAGTAATCCGACTCGAGCAGCACTGACTAAAATCTCGTTTCTTATTTTTGTTTCTCTCATTTTTAAGCTCCAATACCACGTTTTAAGCGCACATGTGTTCGTTTGTTGTTGTGTGAGCCACACATAAGTGATTAAACATTCTCAACTCTTAATAAACGCTCAGTTTCTTTTTAACGTATTGTGATTGATCAAGTGCCTCCAAAAAAGAAGATCCATAAAAATATATATTTTTGTAGTTAATTATTATAGTTTGGATAATAAAGTGTATTATTGCGGAATTTAACGTAAAGTGCTGTTCAAGTAGTGCTGAAAATGTAGTTTCATGATAATTGAGAATACTTTAAGTACTTAAATTTCACTGTGCGCTTCAAAAAAATAAAATATAAATTTTGTTCCTCTTTATGCTGTTTTCTTCCTTGTGAGCGTTTCAGGTAGTCGACCCATTTCTGAGAAGTTTTTATAGCATAGACTTCTCTCATTCTTCTCAAGTGTGCAATTTTGACAAAAATAAATACAAAAAAAAAAATAAAATAAAAATAATTGTAGTTGAAAAAAAAAATCATTTGAATACTGTGCCTGCTCATTGTGTTCTTGTCGACTAAATAAAATAAATTCGTGTGGAAGAAGAAGTGCTAGTTTTATGGATATTATTTTGTATACAGAAATAACAAAAATCGTTAGACTCTCCCAAGAAACATGATGATGAAAAAACAGTGATTGTTATTAGCATTACAAAAATTCACGTCAACCATATTTGGGTCTCATCCAAATTGGAACTAAGAATATTGGAATAAACAATTAAAACAAAAAATAAATCAATTTTGTGCTTATTGGATAATTTTTCCGATTCCAAGGTAAGTTTCGAATTTTTTTTATAGCCTCAAAACTTTCAATTTCGTTACGAAAAAAAAAGAGAATCGGAAACGAGCAATTAGTGCAACTCGATCAAATTAGTTTACCGAAACGGATGACTTAATAAATATATTTTTTGCACCTAATTGGTGATCGCGTTATAATTACTTGCCGCATCATTGGGCGTGCTGTGCTTTTTGTTCAGAAGTTGCGTGTGTTTTTTTGTTATTATAAATTATTGGCAAATTATGGAGATTACAAGATATTCACAATTTCCATACTCTTTATTACTAGGTTTTGAAGGAAAAACATTACAGTTCATTGTTGTAACAATGCTCGTATAAAGTTATATTATTATTATTTTATAACGTTATTTTCTCATCTCATCATTTTATTTTAATTCTTTTATTACCTTTCTTTCACAAATTATGTGATTAATAATGTTGTGGATGAACAGTGCACATGGACCAAAGGGCTAGAGTAAACCAAGCGTCAAGATAATATTTATAAGCTTAAGTTTCTTAGGCAAACCTATCTGTAGATCTTCCTATAACTGCCATATGTGTATACTAATGTGAAACAAGTAGAGTTCGATTGGAATCAAACCCACGACCTCAAAAGAGGCGATCTCTGACTACTTGATCAGAGATCTCTGCCACTCGGCCATCGAGGTACTTATTTCACTTCTGCTATCATTCATACACATACAACCAGTTTCACTGCGAGCCCTATTCTCAGACCTTTCTCCTATAGATATTCTCTTTCAGCCATATCTACACTATCAGCCAACTCTAGAAGTGATTTGTCTTTTGTCAACCTAGAATTGGTTCTAAAGCTACACCAGATTTGCCATAGCTACAACAACTAGCTTTGTTCTCATACCAACTACACAAAATTTGAACCTCTTTGCTCTGAACTTGTTTGTTCATTCTTGTTGACAATTTAATTATGTAATTTACATAATTATCACTTCAATGTGATTCATATTCTGAGACATTTTCCTGAAGCTATAGAGTTTCTGTTTCATGTTCTTACTCACCAACATTTCCTATCCATCTTATTTTCTCCCCTCTTTTGTTCTATAGTAATTCCATTAAGTTCCCAAATAATTCTATTAACATGTTATTTATTCAAAAATCCTCTTGTTGAAAGGCGTAGTAAATGAAATCTTTGATCTTATAGACTATAATCTGTGTAGGTACATTATTATGAGGTAATGGAAGTGAGACCGATAGTATAATGAGTCTTAGAGCTTTTTTTTTTTTTTTTTTTTTTTTTTTTTTTTTTTTTTTTTTTTTTTTTTTTTTTGCTGATCGGATTAACGACTTTTTAAAAAGATTTCTAATGCTTTCTAATGTCGACGGTGTTTAGGGTTTTGGTAATCAAGCTGCTGGGATATTTGGATGAAATTTGCAATTATTTAATTTAGAAATTCAGATATTAAGACTCATTTCCTTTAAACCAAAAATATAGATCAAACGCTTTCAAAACCCTCATCAATGCTGTCAACCTGCATAAAATAATATAAGTCACTCAGTAAATAACAATTTAAGCCAATACTAGAAGCCTTACTTCAATTTCTCACATCTTCTTCTGCATTAAATTGAGTAACTCAACGGCAATCCCAAAAAATACCTCAGCACTTAAATAATTCCCCCCAATTGATTTGCAGACTTAGATCAAAGATTTCTTTAAAAAAAATTAAGTCCAAATGTCAAATGAGAAGCAATCATGAATCAATGAAAGAAGGTCAGTCTATGATGCGGGCTTATGCATTTGACATTTATACAACAGAATTTGTCTATGTCTGTGTGGTTTGAAATTGAGAGTGTTCTGCTGCAAATGAGAATCTTTTATGATTCCGGAATATTTATTGATTATCGTGGATTATTAATTAAGTAGTTTTGTTTGGTGCTGTTCGTGATTTGTTGGTTGTTTTTTTCTTGTGGTTTGTTTGAGCTTGTTTGTCGATGGTTTTCGGTAATCAAGCTGGAAACATATCAAATTTACCTGCTAATTAGTTGTTGGCACTAATGATGTGTTCAAGAAGGGGTCTTCACGATTCCTACCTTCGTGATGCAAAAATCTAATTCAGTTCCGTTTGAGTAAAAACAAGCACAACTAGACTCTGATGAGAAACCACAAAAAATTCCAAAAATGTTGACTACGGATACCAAAAAGAATTCAGATTATAAAAATACCTACAGCAGTCATTCATAAAATGAGTTGCTAGGTAAACCGGATTTTCACAAAATTCTCATCCCATTAAGCAGCTTTGTGACTCTTAATTCCCAAAATAATCCAATAAAATTTACGAATAATTAGAACATTGTTTCACCCTTGATAATCCAGCTTAAAAAGTCTCACTTCCTCCAAACCCCCACAAAAAAAAAAATTAAGCCAAACTTCCACACACAAAGACTCTCAAGTGCTGAACCCTGGATTATTGTTTTTATGCATCTATCTCAGATTACCATATGATTATGTTTACAACCTTTTTCTTTTCTCCCAGCTCATCATCACAACAACTTACAATATTTTTTATTATGAATATTTTCACATCGGCTTATGTGAAACATATTCAGCATTTCTTCTTTATTATGTCTCTAAAGCTATAACTAGAAATAGTGAAAAATGAAAATTCCATAACTGCACGGGTGATAATGAAATAAAATTATAAATGGTAAAAAATTGTCACACAGCTGTATGGAGGTCGGTTTGGCGATGATGTCACGTAGAAAATGTGATTTTTTGGGGGTTTTGTTGATTTTTTAATGAATGATTGAGGATTTTGATGTCAATTGGCATATTGAGTTCTGAAAAGTTTAGATTCTTCCGGCTCTGTCTTCATTATTAAACTCTTTCGAAGGTGCAGCAAGGCCTAGTTTTTAAGCACCACAGATCATCTGTAAAATCATAAATTATTCACATCATTTACTGGAGACCCCACATATTCATATCAGATAATCAATGAACACCAGTCACAGCAGCAGCAAAATGCAACATCAAAAAGAGACTTGATAAGAAGATATTATAATTTAATGTGAGAGAAAAGTGAAATTTTTCATTCACACAAAGTCTTTATTTTTTGAATAAGAAAAAAAAAACAGGTTGTCGACTAAGTCGGCCAATTGAATTAACATGAAGAAGTACACAAGATAAAAAAGTAATTGATCAATTGTCTTTACATTTTAAATTTTCATCCACTTGACAATGAGCTTCAATTTTATCGTCTTTGTTTCGGTTTTGATCAAGCCAATAATTCACAATGTCTTCATCATCCTCATTGTTTTGAGTATTTTTTGTCTTTGTGGCAATGCACTGCGGTGCCGGTGATGATAAGTCTTTGATATATTTTGGTAGGTAGAAGATAACTTTCGGTTTTGTCTCATCATGTTGTTGGATGTCTTTTTGGATGTGATCTGGTAGTTCAACATTGGGCATCAAGTATTTGTTCCTCTTAAATTCCGTACTTAAGTATGTCTTGTATTCAGAACGAAAATAATCATTAATAAGCTTAAACATACCGGCACTATACACTGAAATAATCCCAATCAGAAAGAAACCACGCAGAGCGAAGCCGATCATTATTAATATTAATATTTCGGATAATTTTACACACTCTTGTTAATTAGTAAATCAGCTGCTGCTGCTTCTTCTTTTGAGTTGCAAAAATAAAAAATATGTGTAACACTTATAGCAATTCACTGGAACCAAAGTTTTCATTTATAAGCTGTACTAAAAATTCATAACTGCTTTTCATTTGTGGCCATGCCATAGTAAGAAACATAACAATTGAGTTCACAACAACAAACATTCGCAACATTTCCTGACCTTAAAAATAGAAAAAGAGATAAAAAAGAAGAAGAAAAGAAAATGAAGAAGGGAAATAAGAATGAATAAAAAGCATGAATGAAGATGTTTCAAGTATCTCATAATTATGATGAATTTAAATTTGTTAACACGTTGCTATTAAAATATCATTTTACTAATGTATTGTATGTATGCAGAATTCCCAGTGAGGAATGTTTAAGAAGTAGTTTTGGAACTAAAACGAGCATGTGGTAGACCAAAGAACTTATTTAAAGAGGATCTAAGGTCATCGAATTAAGGAAGTAAGTAATTTTTGGAACTAATCAAAATATTTTTAAAATTATTGATCAAAATGCATTATTGATCAGTTCCAAACTCTTGTTCATGAGTTGTTTGATGATATGTAAACCCTAGTGAGGTAGATTGTGCTTAGAATAGGAATTACTAGCTTTAAAGCCAAATAAAAATCAAATCAATTTCCAAAAAAAAGAAACATTTTCATTCGAATGAGATACGTGAAAAACTCTAAATTCTAGGAATAGAATTCACTCAAGGTTGGAGTCTTATTCATTCGTAAAGTTCAATGTAAAGCCATTCAAAAATCCAAAAGGTAAATTCCAATGAATCAATGGAAAAACCTTTTTCAAATATATGATAATCTTTTCGTGGAAATCCATCGAAATTTAAGCATCGAGAATAATTTGTTGATATTTTGTTCATTTTGTGTGGGTTTGGAAAAGTTGAGGACTAAGGCACAATGTCTTAGTAAGCTTTCATCTTATAGGTTCATGACAAAAATTGAAAGTTCTAATTTATGGAAACTCAATGGTGTAGAATTGATGAAAAATTGAATAAATCTTGATTAATCAGTTCCACTATCTAGTGCTGTCGATAGAATAATCAATCTATCAAAATCCACTCCTCAAAACTTCATCACTGGGTCTCTTCCTCATTCGCAACTCAACATACCAGTAGACGATTTTAAATAGTTTCCAAATCCGGAATTAATTTCTTCTTCATCTCCATCCTTTTTCTCCTCCTCTTTCTTCTCGACTATCTCTTTTTCAGACTTCTGCTTATGTCCTTTCTTTGTCATTTATGAATTGAAGTAAAGAAAGGAGATGAAAAAAATAATGTTTTTTACGAGCGTGACGACTGTAAATCCTTCTTTTCTATCCTTTGTTGTTTGGTTCGAGAGTCTCTCTTGAAAGAAAAATGAAAATAAAAGAGGAAGGAATTGAATAAAAGTTTTTGTTTAAAAAATACATGAAAATATTTCAATTTTTCATTGTTCTACCATATGCGACTGTTAACAGAACTTTATGCTTGTGAGATTAAAAAAAAAACAAAAATAATTTGTCGAGTTCATTCAATTATTTTCAGATTTGTTTTGTGAAAATTTTCTGTAGTGTGTGGTTTAAAGAATAAGCTGCGCTATTTGCTTTTCATGTTTTTCACAGGAACTATCGGATTATTAAAGGGTCGTTGAACTATGATGTCTTATTATGGTAGCATTTAAGTTGAGTGACTAAAAAGACTGCATAGTTTTAAACCCCTCTTAGCCTAGGTTGAAGCAATGTCATGTCTATGTTTCAAACTAGAGTCAAACGGGGTCTAAAACTACGAATAACATAGTAAACCTTACATTACCAAAGAATTAAGTCAAATAGGCTCGATTTTTTCGAGAATGCTTCAAGATTTCTGAAAAATCAAAGGCGACTTCTTAGTCTATGAACTGTATTTCAAGGATTAGCGAGCATTTGATTTTAAGGTTAGAAAAAGAGCGAAATCAGGTTTTAAAAATGAATACCATCCCAAACCTCATTTTTGAGTAAACCCCATAAAACTCATTAAACCTTAAAAAACCTTTAAAATGATTCAGCTTCCGCTCAATTTTCTCCCAAAGCATCCCAACATAAAATATTATTATCTTTAACAGATATCAAATCTCCGATATAAACTCATACATCGGGATATAAGTATGAATAAAATCAATAAAGGTAAATTGAGTTTGAATTGCTGTTTATTTAAAATCTATTTCCTGCATTTCCTGTTTTGTAAATTTAAAATATTGAGAACTCCTTATACCTATAATAAATGAATATGTAAGCTGCGAATATGTGTAAAGGAATGAATAGAAACAAACATGTGGAAATGAATTTTTCATTTTCAAGTTTTACGTTTTATCATTAAAAGGAAAATGGGAAATGCAGAAAGGAAAACTCGAATAAGTTTTTAAATATGATGTTTTGCTGGGGATTGATGTGAGATATTGAGGCGCTCTTTGGAAGGCTGTATGGGTTTTGTATGCATTTTTAATACAGAATGTTTGACTTACTCTTGTTTGGGAAGTATGTTTGGAAACTAAGCATCTAATAGCATTTATTTCATTAACATACACTAAGGTCAACTAGTTTTTGCTTAAATGAACCTTAAAAGATCCATTACTAAACAACCGAACACATTTAGTTTGAAAATATACTTAGAATTCCAAATCCACCTCAAATCTCTTACAAAGGTCCAATTTTACATTCCAAATCCAAATATGCCAGAAATCCTTTCCCAAAAAACTGTTTCATAAAAAACTCCACATAATAAATCATCCATCCATCCATAAAACTTACCAACGGCAGTGACAATATCACAAACAAAAATCAATAAATAACCATTAAACCATCCCCAAAGTCAAAAGTCAACAAACTTTGTATGACTTTCGTACTCAAACTTTTTTATTGATGTTTTCTTTACAGTTTCAATTTCAAAAATTGTAAGCACATCGTTTCAGCATTCAATCTTCTATCCTTATGAATGATGAATTTTTCTGTGCCATTATATTTATGTGTACAGCATCTCTGCTTTCATGCCACATGGTCGTTTGTTCACTTGTGCTATTTATTTTTGTTGGTCTCGTCTTTTTTAGAATTTATATTGAATTTTTAAATAAATTACCACTGATGAGGGTAACAAAAGAAATAGGAAGCATCGTAGGAAATTGATGTTGTTTACATGAACCAATTTCTAGCCTTTACAAAAATGTTTTTATCCTTATTGTCTATCCTCACATGCAGGCTTATCATTTTGCTCACCAATGTTATTTGGGTAATTTTTTTTCAACTCTAAGCCGCACCACAAAACATGATGAAAATTTATCTGCTTCTGTTCATTTAAATGATTTAATGATGGCCTAGTTGAGGATCTACATCCTTCAATTTTGGGAAATGTCTTTCATCTGACACAGTTTTCATAACCATAAAAAGAAGTTCGAATGCTTCTCGGAAGGGCTCTACAATTCAGTCCTCAATTATGAAAAGAATGAGTTTTGATTAATTGATTGAAAGTGTTTGAAAAGGTATAAGAAAGTCACTCAAGGCAGTAGGGCAATAAATATAATTTATTCTTCATTAAAGGTGTTCATGCAGTTTCTAGATGTTCTAATGTTTAAAGCACATAACCCTTGGTGACTTTTTGGTGCTTAAAGTTTGAAGAATAAGATTTTAGTCGTTAAACAAAACAATTTGTTTTCACGGTAATAATACTGATTGTTGTCATCAAGTTACGAAGAGTTTCTGTTGATTGGTATTGTTTTCAGCCCGAGCTACTTAGTCATCCTCAGAAATGATTCATTCAATGAATCACAAAAAAACTTCAAAACTCAATTTCAACCATCGAATTAAGTCTCTAAGTTGTCTTATAACAACTTATAACTGGTAATCAATTACAGTGCTTGCTGCCTATAGCTTCACATCATATACCACCCGGGTAGATTACTCAACCAGAAAATCACAATAACATAAAAATAAACTTTAATTATAGAATTCAAGTAGAAGAATTCACAACAATATCATCTATAAGTGTCTATTATACGCACAGCTAGTAGCAACCACAAATGTTTATGCTCACTAGGCATGTAAAACTGCCATTAAAGGTAAACATACAAAAAAGTTCTATTTAAAGACCAACAAAAATATCAGATTACGATAACATTCTAAAAAAATTGCTTAATTAGAGAAAATCCCACCCAAATACCGAAATTATCACCAATTAATAGCTATTCTCATTCTATACATACACATGAGTATCCTAAAATTCAATTTATATTGAAAATGTTTTCGAAACTTTTTTTTTTTGTTTGGAATGTTTAATTTTTGCTCCACATCCATCCACACACGATTCGTAGACGGAGTAAAATTAATTACAAACAATTAACTTCTCATATCATTTAATTATGTGTGAAACCTACCCTCAATTATTTGCAGCTAATTGCACTTTTTGTGCTGAATTCACCAAAAAAAAAAAGAAACTTTTTTTGTTTGCTGCTGTTTATGCCAAGTGAAGGCTTTCATTATATGTTGACAACTGAAAATGACGAGGGCGTTCTTGGAACATTTTTTTAAACAGCCAACAACAAGATGCTTATTGTGTAATATGATAGCATTTAATTGAATTATCCTCCTTCTATTTTTACACAATTTTTCATGCAAGCTTTTATGGATTTAGGAACACGTGTGTATTTATGTGGACACTTATATTCAATAAAACAAATAAATCTTTCTTATGCAATGCACCCCTAGGGAGAGTCGAGAACTAAAAGTTTTCCTATCGACTTTGTTTTGTGGACTTTGTTGCTGATGTTGTTGTTTTGGGGTTGCTTTGCTAGTTTTTCAAAAGAGAGTTGGACGGTTTGTGGCACTTTGGGTATTGATAGCTAGTTGAGTTGAATTGTTTGGGGTCAGTTTCTGGGATAATCCTAGAATTTGGCTGAGGCATCCTCAAGTTAATTTACTATGTCAAAAAAATGCGCCATACCGCCTTCAAGTCAACACCATTCAACCAATTTAGTCACCAATGTTCTCAACAATTCCTCTTATTCTCACAATAATGCTTATTATTGACTCATGAGTTATACTATTCCTCTAATGACATTAAATGGGAAAAGTTGTTAGGCTTCTTTCCTCTATTTCCATTTTTCTCTCTGTTTTCGTACTTAAATAAACATTGTTCTTCTTCATTTGACTCGCTTTCATGGTCAATAATGTCTATTACTTCTTACATTATATTTTCATGTAGACCAATATGGATTTACTATTATTTGATCTTATTCTCTGAAATATTTAAAGTAATTGTTCAGCATGTTATGAGAAAGTGTTTTTTTTTTGAATTATTTATGAATTGCTTTAAATTACTTCTGTTTGGGTGAGTTTTGAGGTCTTTATAATTTTTTGCATGAATAATATGAGGCATATTGAATGAGAAGGCACTTATGGACTAAGAAGATGATACGAATGTAAACAAAAGGCAGCAGAAATTGGAGATATTATGTTCAGATTTGTTATTCATGAGAGTACTTAAGAAAGTAATGGACATGAAAGTGAAACTTTTTTAATGGACTGCGAATCAAAAAATTATGAATGTGAAGATGTTTGGAATTTTGAGGATAGTTAAGTTTGGTAAACTTGTGCGTTATATTCTGAGAAACAGTTTACTGTCTTCCTTAAACTTAACGCACAGCAATACAAAATTTCGTAGCATTTAGCAAGACATCCATCGTCTAAGATATCAAATCAAGTAAGAACCAATCCAAAATTCAAGAAATCATCTCCTCAAACCAATCAAATCACCTCCACCAACCCACAGCTACATTTTAATCCCATTTAATTTATCCAAACCAGACAGTGAATTTAAATGACAGCCAAAGAGCAATCACCTCGAATTTCCATCAGATTATTCTTAATGTTATTGAATTTCCATCTCCCCGCACAGAAGCTTCTCATTAACATTAATATTTTTTAACTTCCAAGAATAATTACAACAGACTAAGGATTAAATTAAAAAGTAAAGAGACAAAGATTTTTATGACTATCTCTAATGGTTAGAAGAATGACGTGAAATGTCTCCATCACGTCTACTGTAATACAATAAAGTCAGTGTTTCAAAAAGGGAATTATTCAACAATGACAAGTTTCTGAAAGGGGGAACTGGTATGGATGTGGTCGTAAGTGAGGGAAGGAAGCGCATTTTGGTGGAAAAAGATTCTTTTTTGAGCTTTTATGGACCCTCATTCCTAGATTTTAGGGATGCAATGTGGCAGTTTGGAGAACCATTGTCCTAAGTAAACCTTTCAATACTACCGAGACACTGTTTAGAATTTTAACATAACCTCAATATCCTAGAACAGTTGTTTATACAGTCAGACATAGAGAAATCTAAAGCACCCTTTTCTCATAGCATTATGCCTTTAAAAGTCGAAAGAATCTGTCATAAAGATAATTAAAAAATTAAATGAGCGTTAAAGAATATTCAGCTTAATGGCATCACACTCCATAATGACATGGCAATAATAATTATAACGTTGAATGCTCGAGGAGAATTTTTTCCATCAAATCCGATAAAATTGCCGTGAGGCAGGAAGAAGAAGGAACTAAATCACATCACTGCATGAAAAAAATTTCATTTTATTATAAATTTTATTAAGTGATAAATGTCATATTGTTATGAAACATTCCCTGAAGGAATTTCACATTAAGTAACAATTTCAAAATACATGCTGTACTGTCTAATCAGAATTGAGGAAGAAATGAAAAAAGTTTTTCCTTTTCGACTTCCTATTTTCATTTTGTGTAATGCATTTTCTTGATGATGGAAAAGTTTTTCTTTGGAATGCGGATTTCTGAGATGATTACTTGTGACAAGTTGGAGCAGTTTGGACCTGTTTATGGAACTGGATGAGATTATTTAGGGGTTTGAAAAGTTTTTTGGAAAATTTTCAGTTTTTATGGTCGACAACAGTTTTTTGAAATTTTAAATTTCACGATCGTTTTGAATTTGAATTTTACAGTACGCGACAGTCCCTTGTTAACATTTCTGTTCACTGTGCCAATCTTCATCATAATTAGACCAAAACACAAGAAATCAATTAACATCGTCTATCCATCCTAATTCAATCTTACAACCTCAGAACCCACAAATACCACGAAAATCATATTTTTATCAAGCTTCAGAAAGCCATTAGTACCGTAATTTATATTTTCTACTTGATTAATCAATAATCAAAAGTCAATTTATTAAATCAGACCATTTTTGTTCATTTAAAAGCTCACAAACACAGTAATAAAGCTAAATGATGTAATAAACCTTAAAAAATGCGTCCAAAATCCGTCCACATTAATCTTCCTCGAAATCATCAACATCCTCGAAAACAATTTCCCAACTTACGTTTCACAATTTCCCTTGGAAATGTCATGAAGATGTAAGAAATATGTTATTTTGATGTACATGCATGTTATCTTATTGTTGAGCACGTTGAGAAATTCCTTCAGCCAACTTTACTTGCATTCGTTCACAAATAATCGCAATCATAGACATGAACATAATATTTTTGCTCATTTCATGTAAATTTCTCATTTCAACATCCTGAATATGATAAAAGCGCTGCTATAATTGTTCGTGAGTGTTGTGAAAATAAGTGGGAATGAGAAGCTAGTGTACTCGTGGATGAAGTGCATCAGGGAGCGCAAAATCCTTCAGGTGGGACTTACTCAGAGGGAGAGCCTGTTTATTGATCCTGACTTTCTTCACAGATAACAACAAAGCTTCAGACCAACGGACAAACAGACAAAATGAGCACAACATCATCAATCATCTCCAAGAAAAATGCGCGAAAAAGAATCTCCCCGAAGAGTACATTTTCCAACATATTAAAGCACACTTTTTCGTAATAGTAAGAGTAATTATAATGGTGATGATGATGTTTCTATTTGCTACCATAGCATGTGTATATTCTAATTAATATACGCTATAATGCATTATGTCATTTCCATCATTTTCTTTTTTTAACCATCCTCCCTCCTTTATGTGCTGTTGTGTATCTACTCCGTCTAATGGCGTACATAAAATGACATTCCTTGAGCCTTTATTGTTTCCGTCATCGGTTTATGTTTGATGTCACGTTATAATGTGTGTAAATGTTGGCAGTCGACTTGTTTTTCACATTGCTTCAAATGATAAGGCTTGATTGATGGTGTCTCGTAAGTGAAAATCTTCTGTTTTATGTGAAACAATTGGAAGTGTAAAGGAAGTGAATGATGAAAGATGGAAGGGAATGTAAGAAAGAAAAAGCAGAACAAAAAGTTTTTAAATTTATCAGAGCAATAATGTAGCATTTGATAGCTAGGATTGTTTACTCGTCAACTATGACATTGAGATGAGAAATATAATATTAAAGTTATGGATATCTTGAGTGTTTGTTTGACAGAACTGATTAACGTTTGATTTGGGAAGTATAATTAAAAGTGCTTGAAATGTGGAGGCTGTTATGATTGATAAGAATATTGGAGGTTCCTGCATCGACCATAACACTAATGCATGTTGTTGTAAGAGCAGATTAATGATTTAAGTTGGAATTATTTCAAGCTTTAAAATAACTCTTGAAAGCTTATTTAAAGCGAATATTTCAAAAGCTCGGGTTCGATTCTCACAACATTCGTATAGAATTTATTCAAATCGAGCACATGATATGCAGGATTGTTCATTTACAATCACAAAATCATGTTTGTCAAGCATGACTTAATCTTGTTTTTGTATTAGGTTACCAAATTCAATTTAATTTACATCTTACAATATAATCAAAACACCTTCCTTCCACCCTAGCTCCCAAAAAATCCTCTCTTATTTCTCATAAACCATGCTACGGACACGTCGAAATTTCCGTTAAATTCTTGTTTAAAATTCTAAAAACCGTTAAATAATTCAAATTTTTGGAAACCGTTACATCATTCAAAAAATTAAAATACGTTATTCAATATTCTTCTCAGTTCTTCATTTTATTTGAATTGTGATGCATACAATTGCTTTCTATATACAAATTGGTCTAAATAATGTAAATCCATCAGAACGACAACTTCTGCACTTTGGTAAAATGCAATTTGTCATTGCAAGTTAAATTCAGTGAGTTTTAGTATGTTTTAATTGATATATTTCAACAAAATAAATTTACAGAAAAAAAAATTTTTTATTTGTTTACAAATTATTTGAGAAAAAGATAACGGCGAATTAAAATTTGAATTTTGTATAACTTCTTGTCGAGTGTCGATTTTTTAAATTTAGTCGACCTTGATGTCGAAAAAAGTCGATACTGAAATGTCCGTAGCATGTCATAAACAAATAACTTTAAAATCAACAAAACATCTCATTTTGTAATGTAAAATCTTCATAATTGAATATTCAGAATTTACACTTCTTCATTGTGTCATATCCAAAAGCATATTCATTCATGTTGATGACACATGAACGCATTTTAATTTAATTAGAGAAGAATTCAAATCTCTTTATGTCTCTTGAGGAAATTTCTATATCCCTTT